GCCATCAGCAATACTAACCCACGAGCACTTGATGAGGAGCGATCGTAGATAGAGAAGAGGCGTGCCAAGGTATTAAGTAAGGGCTTAGATTTAGACGATAAGCTATATAAAGATGTGGGCTAAAGAAGACATATGGGCTAGGGAGACCAAGACTGAGCATAGGAAGTGTAAAGCTAGACTAGCGTTCGTAGCCCTTTCGGCTTGGCCGCCGGGCGTAAATAAATTGTGTGTGTAGTGGCCATTGCTCTTGTTCGTTGGGCCAAGAAGCTGCATTCCCACCAGACGATCCCTCCAGCCCCAAACTCTTGTGCTTGATTGCGGGGTAAGACTTTCATTAGATCAGTAGTTTTTGTTGAAGCTAGTTCAGTATAAGGGTTCAGTATAAGGATATTTTCAGTATAGTTTACAAGTATGGCGCCAACGCACGAAGTGTTAGCAGAAGATGTATATGAGTGGCCCTTTACATGCATCTTGAAAGTACCAATAACTTGCTTCACAGGGGAAAGGATTTTGCACAAGTTTCTGCATGTGAATTCAGATAGAGAATGGTTTTTTCTTCCCTATACTGTGTCTTGAATTCCATAGCATCTCTTCGTTTATGGAAGTAGTCTTGAAGTACCTATCGGATACCATAGTATTCGAAATCTCGCACAATAATCCTCCAAGATCCCGTCATGGGTTTTACACTAATATCTTCTAGATTGGTATTGGCTCAAAAATATCCGTGTAGTATGCTATAATTCAACGCCAAAACCAAGACAGCAAAAGAGCAGGTAGTTGAAATAGTAGGGTGGCAATGATGCCCTGGTAGAGTAAAAGATATCCCTCAACGTGACATCCCTTGTCAAGAAGCTACGTATCAGTGGTACGATGTAGTATACGTTTACTCCAAGCAAAAGATAGCGGATATACTATTTTTTTGATAAGAACCGAATGACGTGCGTGCTGTAGGAGCGATGTTCATCTCAAGCAAGAGATGTTGTCTTTAGGGTTGCATCGAGTGGGAATGTTCAGCATTTGACCAACCATAATCAAGTTGACATTGGATATATTGTTTGCCTTAGCTATATCGCAAACACCGGTGTCGAAAATGTCCGCGATACTTCTGAATGTATCTCCTGCACTAATGACGTATGTCCTATTAGGGCTGCAGGCGCCTACGTTTCTCAGTGTTATTAGTAAACGAGCTGATTCTTGTATTTCCTAAATCTTACGTTTTTGAACTGCTCCAAGGGGGTTTGCAAGAGCAAGGCTTGAGAAAAGGGTAATGAGGAGTGCCTTGATCTGCATCTTGAACGTTTTTCGTTAAATAGGTGGAGGTAGCTTAGATGAAGTATATACAAAGGTGTAGAAGTGATTGCAGTAGATAGATATCCATTGAAGGGAAGAAGATCTTGCTTTTATAAAAAAATATTTTCCTATTTTGTAGCCAACATAACTCGTATTCCTTACGACGATAGAACATCCAACAAGGATTGTGATAGCTGGAAAGATTAAATCTACTCTACAATTTTTGTGTTTTGCGATTCCTGATGCATGTAAATGTATTTTCTACGAGGTTACTAGCCTTATAATGCGCATATAGTGCGGTGTGGTCAGTATTCTCAATAATATCCAGCTCTCAAGAGTTGACTCTTCAACCAAGGATGGAGTTGCAAGTAATGATGTTGATTGGCAAACTGATCCATGGACGTGCCACTCTATGATCCGTGATGCCTTCAAGCTGTACCTCATCGATCCTTTTTGTAGCCATTCTCTGCCTATCATGCGATTCCGATTAGGTCCTGGCGCAGTCCATCTTTTCCGTCGTTCTTCTTCTTTAGAGAACAAATAGTGGGCTTGGACCACAGCTCTGCGATAATTATCGCATGTTGAAATCTACAAATCATTCATATCAGGTGATATTTCCATTCAGCTATAGAGAAGGCTCTTGCAATTATCATTTTCCCAACATGTGCTGGTGCGCTTTGCGCGAATCAGGTCCTTGGTATCTTCAGTTTTCCGTCTCATGCTTTGTATTCAACGATGCTAAAATGTCGTTGCAACTAATGCGCAGCAAGGGCGATCGAGACAACTACTGTTTCTCTTCTCGAAGCGAAGCCCCTATCGCAATATGCAAGCTCCTAATCACATGCCTTACACGTCGCATCCACTGCTATCGGAATAGTCATGGAGAGGAGTTGTGCGCTATAATCACTAGGAAGGTTCTCCGACGTGTTAGTGAAACTCTAAATGCCTTTCTGATAGTAAAGTATCGCAAAAGCACCTAGTTGTAGTTAGCATGTCGCTCGCTGTCCAAGCACACATAAACGATGTGTGAAGATGTCAGGGGCAAACCACATTTTCAAGTTGGAGCCCTATCTCGGAACACCGAGTAGACGACAAGATATGTAACTTATGGCAAATACTTTGTAATGCTTATAGGCTCAGACAATGTACTCACTTCAGCTTTGGATGTTGTATCATGTCCAATCAGTAGTCCAATCGCATCCGAGAGCGCCGTAGCATTTCGCGGATCAGCATTCCAGCCAATCGGGCTCAGATGTTGCGGCCGTAACGACAACGGAGATTAACAGCCGCCTATTGGTCCAACAAAGCGATATTTCAAAAAAGTTGCACATGCTTTACATGGTTAGCAACACTGGACACTGGTGCCGCTCTTGTTGTTGTTTTTTGGCTAGTATGCATCACTTTAGTACATAGAAAAGATGGCACGCCTAAATAATGGAAATAATTGTATCTTCGTAGTGACATCACGAAGCTCTAAATTCACTAACTTCTTAGCGTGTTACTAGTGATTTTGGTTGAGTGGTGGCCCGTGTAGAAAGCTGTTTTTTGTTGTCCACTGCGCAACAGCATTCGTCCAAGATACCTTCTCTAGGAAAAATTGAAAATGTTGTGACAAGCCTCACCTGCACACTGAAAATGGCTTTCTCCTTTCATGACCCCTTGCTTTCTTTCTCATCAGGCACACAATAATTGAAAAGTTGGCATTACTCGAAAACGTTCACGTATATTGGGATTCAAACGTAGAGCAACATTATTATGGGGAAACCCAAGTCACTTTAGAAGTTCCAATGATGATATCAGTAGCGCCATATTGTTCATAGCCATTGTTGTCATGTACACCGATCAGGGCTACATTTAGAGGAAAGAGGCCGGATGCTTCACTGACCATGACACATCCGCTAGCTTTTCAGTGAGCGTAAAATGCAAATCTCAACATTGATGCTATCATACATGGTCATCAGTTGATATCAAAAAGCCTCCCCAGGGTTCGGAGATCACCTTGGAAAGATAAATGCTAGGTTCTTATGGTAGTATAGTCCCGACAATGAAATGCGATAATGGATCTTCACTTTGGCTAGCATGGAGATGCTTTGTAGATTGCTTTCATCGTTATACATGTCATCCGAAGATCGAGGAACATAAATTAACGTCCGCAATGTGAGTGTCTCGGTCGTCCCTTACGAGCAGAAGTATGCGTGATATTGCCGGCCTCGAATCACATATCTTTGGACTGTTGATGCAAGTTTCGCACTGATTCTTACAATCGCGGGTCCATGAAGAGCAATTCTGGGGGTGTTTCGGGTACTAGAACCGAATCATGTGTCTGCTCCGCCAGCTGCCGTGAAGCCTGGTCCGTACACTGGTCTGGGTACAACTTGGTATTTCTTTCGCATTTTCGTTCGATTTTTTCCCCGTGGCGCACCTGTTCTTCAATCGGTGTGTTGCTGACATGAACCAAATCAATAAAATTCCCACTGTCGTTTGCACTGCTTTTATACATATCGGGCACAGCTCCACAAAACGAGCCATGGAGGATAAGGCTACCAACGAGCTTGCTACGTTTCTTAGATGGCATTCCACGCTTGCAAACATGCTTTCTGTGCCGGTAAGACCCATCCTCTCTCTCAGCGGCTAGAAGGATTGAATTCTGGTAAGACTGTAGATCGCTGTTGATTGCAGGTATGTACTCTTGGTGTTTCGAACAACATTTCTTATCACATCTCGCGCGTGCATGGTCATCCACATCTGGGGTTTCATTTCGGACTATTGGCGAGCTCGAGACTTGTTTTGGGTAAGGCGACCGAACAACTGGATCTTTTGAAGTTAGGTAAGCGGTTGTATCAAACTGGGGTGGGGTATCGCTTTCAGATCTAATGGCTTGACACGAGAGTCCACCGGGTACATCGTTGATCACAGAGTTAGGCAAGAGCCTGCTTATGTCTTCGACAAGCTGAAGGTCTCTTTTTTGAGGTTTCCAGTTCGCAATTGAGGAGGCATACTGCTTTTCAAGGCTCTCCGATTGAGATGTAAACCAAGAATGGTTCAGAGCCTTAGTAGCCGTCATCCTGCTTTCTTCATTCAGTACCAGCAGCTTCCTAACGAAATCCTTTGGGTGAAGACCGATCAGCCTCCATGATGGATGATGTTCATCGTGAAGAGCGCTCAAGTCGCAGATGGCTACGAGCCCCACAATGACGCCTTGTGGATTCTTATGGTAGTCAGGATGATTGCGATCGGTAAACAAGTGATCGCCTGAGAGGATAGTAGCTGTGAGCGAGCCGACAGACCACATATCTACACTCTTCGAGTACCCATTTCCCGCCGGAATGACTGGGTTAGCGTGGTGAATTTCCGGCGCTGCATATTCCAAAGTGCCGACATGCGAAAACATTCGTTGGTATTTAGTGGCTTGGTTGCTCTCACAGGGAAGAAATCGCGAATTGCCAAAATCGGCAATGACGACGCGGGTTGTGTCTTCTAGTGACGACATCAAGATATTGTCAGGTTTGAGGTCTCGATGTACAATGCCTAGTTTGTGTAGATACTCGATCCCCTTCAAGATTTGAAAAACGATAGCTGACGCTTGTGTGCTATCAAGACGACCGCCTTTGAATTCAAGAAAAGAAAACAAGTCACCGCCGGTTATGAGCTCCTGGAATATGTAGATGTTGTCATGGCTGCAAAATACTTTTTCAAGGGCGATAATGTTAGGATGACTAAGATTTTTGAGAATCTTGAACTCTCGATGACATCGGTCCCTTGGCTGGGGCGCATGCTGGTCTCGACCGGCTATTGGCGAACTCACCGTGTTCATAGGAAGTCTATCTAGTCGGACAACTTTGCAAGCGAGTTGTTTTTGGGTTTCTCGAACTACGCCCACGAGTACCTTGCCATATCCGCCTTCACCCAGCATGCGGGTAGTGACGAGATATCGCGAGCTGAACGCTTGAATTTCCATTTCCTGGGTAGGTGTCATGTCAACAGATTGCACGGGACTTTTCGACAAGTAGATCAGTGTGATAGTATCGGAGATATTGAGCTCGTCCCCATGACCCAGAAGGAAGGTGTTATTGCGGCCCATGAGAATCTCATCATCCTGGCATGGAACAGATCCGGAATCACGCTTCTTCAAGTAGGTGCCATTGGCTGATAGGTCAGTCGCATATACAAAGGGTGCGATGTTAGAGATCGGGTCTTGTTCATAAAGAATGCAGTGGATACGCAGATGCAGCCGAGAAACGGTAAGATCGTCACACCACGTATAGCGACTGTAAATGAGGTCAGATCATGCCACGCCACGGCCAAGGTGGCTAGCGCCTTCGTCTCACCAGAGCTCGGTGTCTCTCCCAAGGTAGAAGTGCTCGTTACCGCAAACCTCGATAGCACTGCGTTGGGTTCCTATGTTGGTTAGTATGCTGGCCATGGCTCAATGGAGAATGAGCTGCAGCGCACCGCGAGCGTCATCACCAGCCACAACAACCTGCAGCCATCCTACCACCTGGCCTGCCATGGCGTATCGTTATCAATACTGCATCGATACTAAAGTAATGTCGCATGTCCATGAATCAATGTCTGTGCGAGGCTCCCAGGAAGAAAAAGTGACGCGACGCGCGTGAACTTGGCACCTGCTCAAGGTCGGGCCGCTAAACCGCTTTGGCTAAGCGAGCCCCGCTCCCACCTAGGTATTTCGTTCAGTCAACCTTGAACCTTTGTTCTACACTCACGACACTCATCTAGACAGCAATGTAAGTTACTCTCCGCGGGCTACCATGTCCTCTGTAATGCACAGCTCAGCGTCGCTCTCGCTTTGCGAGCGTCTCTGCCCTTCAATCAATCCACCATCTATCAATTGCAGCCGCTGACCTCACTCCACAGCCCGCCGACAAGATGAGAGCCAAATGGAGGAAGAAGCGTGTTCGACGTCTCAAGCGCAAGAGAAGAAAGACGAGGGCTCGTTCGTAAGTGACGCCAATGCCAACATGGCTTTGTGCATGGAATTAACCAGGTTTGCAGCAAATAAACTACTCGCCCCTCGATCTCAGCAGCCCATCGCCTCAACTCTGATCCAAAATGATGGATGAACGACTTGTTTTTTGCGCACAGCCTTCCGCCTAGTTTGCGCCATTTTGCTGCAACGCGCATTCCGACCCCCCGTTACGTCATACGGTCGGATGCCACACGCGAGCTATCAATGATTTTTCTCGGGAGGAAACGATTGTGCCGGATTGAGGAACGTTATGGGAGGCTGGTCAATTGCCCATGTGGCACGTTGAGGTTCTCTGGGAGTTTACTTGAACATGAGATTACGACGGTCTCTCTAACACCGGTTCGCGTCCCGCTGTGGATGCTTGCCTTTGACTGACCTGTCACCATGTGAACATGCGATAACGGAATCAAAAATGCTTCACGACAATTGCCCCTCGCTTGCTGTTTGTGTGCGTGATGTCGCGTGATAGAGAATGACATGCCGAGGACTGAGCTCAGCTGAGGTGTTATGATGTAATAAAGCGCTTCGTGTGAACTTGGTGTTAACCGAGAAACAACGGACGTTTGGAAAAGGGCTTGGTCAAGACGAGAGAGCGCCAGAAGGCCAAAGGTCGTATGCGTACTTACGTTCCTTGTGCATTTTGAAGATTGCGCAGTCCATGGGTGCACATGTGCATACTTGAGCATCTCTTGGTCATTGTGGATGTGAACATTAAGCAGGTATAGATGCAGCTTCAATATTGGTGTCATTAATATAATTTAGGGGAGAAAAAAATAGTAGACAAGGAAATTTTCCGTTGCCAAAGTATGCTTCTGAGAGAAGTGAATGACTGCCGAAAAGGACCACCCACGCTTTATGCGCACAGCGCTCCTGAACATGATAGTTAAGCTCCTGCTACAAAGTACGCAAAGGATGAGATGATCAAACCTTGCCATTGACCCAGAGGTAAGTTGACTTTGAGTCACTCTCTTTGTCGTGCAAGTCATGTCGATGTTGATACACTTCACGTGAGACAAAAACACCTTCGCCCTCGCTAGCCCGCCCGGTAGGAGCGTCCTCGCCAGCCCAAACGTGGGCGTGCACACCAGGCGACGCGACCGGGGCTGGCAATTTGGCTGTGTCATTGATTGCAACTTCAGTGATGTTGCGGTAATTGAATAACGGTAGCACTGAACCACCAATATTGGAACGAGCAAACCATCGCTTGAAGGAGGACGGCCGTATCGGCGGGGTAGAGGATTCAGTCTGACCTTGGTTTCCTGTAATCAGTGCGGTTTCGGCATCGCCGTTACTCACAGCCGGGAAAGAGTCCAGGGCGACAGAGTTGCTGCGAGGAAAGTCGGCGTACGCATCGCCAACCGAGGCGGTGGAATCAGATTTGGATGACCAAAGCAAACTTTTTGCCTTGCTCGATACACTGCTGGTCCATGATCTGGCAGCTATAAAGCTCGAGGGCGTTCGCTGCCCATTCCGTCTTGGCTCGTGCAGACTCGGCCATACTTTGCCTAGGCCCATGCTGACCATGGCCTTTCTGTAGAAGTTGTATGCATCAACGCCAGTGCCGAAGAGCAGAAAGACAACATATCCAGTAATCACCTGGATCCATTTGTCGTAGGAGACCTTGCCTTGCACTGGTACGTGAATGATGGTGTTGAATCTGACTGGGTCATGGACATAGGACCAGGAGTACGATTCAGTCAGGACAAAAGAAGCTTCAACAGTGATGTAGATGGAATAAGTGAGATAAACCAGGCTGATTGTCACGCTGAGAATGAAGAGTCGGACAAAACGAGATGTTGTGGTGTTCTGAGCGACGACCAGGCTGTGGAACTCTTTTCGGTAGCGATAGAGTCGATATACAAGTAGGACTGTTTGGCTATGTTAGCGGCGACCTGATCAACATATGGATGTCATCCAGGAGAAAAGACTCACTCGACCAAAACGTGGCAAAGGCCATGGTGATTGGAAACCACATGATACTCAGGACGAGGCTTGGCCATGAATTATCATAGGTAGATTGACAGCCCACGATGCCGTAGATGGTGTAGCGAGCCGGTTGAACGACGTAGTAAACAATGGCCAGGACCATTGGGGCTCCCCAGCACCATACTAATTCCCAAACCTTCTCTCTGATCCTGCTGTTGCGACTGCTTGAGACGGTAATGTTGCGAGTGTCCATGACCCTAGCTAGCTTGCGCGTGATCATTGCCGCAGATGCTGCAACGCCTACGTAGCTCGCAACCTGGATCCGCACATGGATGTCGCACCATACATTGCCATCCCACCATTCGAGCAGATTGTCGCGCGGCCATATGAGAGCGTTGATGGAGTTGAAGAAGTTGTGAAGGATGATCCATAGTACGTTTGAACCAGCGGCAATGTTGGCTTGCCGGAAGTGCCAGACCATTGCTGGAACGCAGAGTATCCATGCCGGGAAAGCGAAGGCTGGGAAAAGAATTGCCTGGGTGTAGATGGGAGCATCCATCGAGTACCCTTTCGGGTAGGCTGTGCCACTGTCGAGGACATCTACCGCCCCGGACGGCATCGCTTAGGTTGTCGGTCTTGGAGAATGGGCGAATATGGGCGATGCTACGACACAAGAAATTTGTCAGGGCGTGTCGAGTAAATTTATGGGAAAGTCGAGATTGAGGAACGTATATGGGTAACGTAGAGTTTGGCAAGAAGTCCGTCTCGAGCCTCGCAGCTTTTGTGAGCTCGTACTGTGGGTGAGCGCGGCAGAGAACTCAATAGACTGAGTTGATGTCTCAATCTTCAATAATGGTCAATAGGTGCTGTTGGATGACTTACGCTCACTTGAGTGGTGAAAGTCGGTCGTTTTGCTCCACGGCCATCTTGGCAGAGCCACTCGTCGAGTCGTTTGGAGACTTGTTCAAACAGACTGTTCCGTCGCACCGACACAGGGGGAATTGGTGTAGGTGATGCCTGGTTGTAGTCGCGGAGTCGGTGGTGATTGAGGTGAGACTTTCACCAATCCGTTTTTGGGTCTGAATAGGAAAAGTGACGAAGACGGTTCATTCTGAATAGAAATCCAGCAGATGGGAGGCGAGACATGTTTGTGATTATGACTGAGGCAATGACAGAGCATTTCATGTGCACTTTATGTGTTGAGTTCGCTTCTGTGGCTCAGTGCAGATCAGGGCGTACAGATGGCATTTATCCAAAGTGAGGGGTCTTGTCACGTCGAGCAAGGTTACCAACTCCAGGGGGTAAACATGTGTCGGTACTTGTGGATAGGTAGTGCATGCAGCTTCCTGTTTTGTCAGAATCTGGAGGCCGGTGTCCTGGAGAAGATGGTGATTAGGGGAGTATCTCGGGAGGGTGGGATCAGGCAGCAGAAGCAACGACAAGCTGCTCGATTGAGTCAATGGTGCTTATGGCTTTGCGTGGCTGTTTCCCACCAAGTACAGCTCACAGTGTTGCTTCTTCCCGTGTAGCGCGTTGTGCTCAGGCGGTCCGACTGCAATGTGACAGGGATTACGAATCCGATGGTGCATGGTTGCCGATGGCAGATGGGACGGGGAGACGCGCAATCATCTGACCATTCTGACGTTGAGAAGACGGCTGGACCATTGGCATCTCAACTGCCTGCGGAAAGCAAAATGGCAGAAGTAAAGAGGCTCGACAGCAATGCTCGTTCTAGCTACATACATACACATGTATGGATGTATGTATCCAATACATGATTGCGACTGCTCGCACCGGCGGGTACTAAGTATCGGATGACGTAAACCACCTGGGAGACCCGAGGCGTCTTCCACTACCTACGGCACACGACCGCCGGCCTGGCGCATGGGAGACTCGCCCACGGCTTCAGCTATGCAGTGCCAGCGCCTGTGCCCATTAGCAGGACCACATCGATACACGCATCTGAGCAGCGGCGGCTTTTTCCCGCCATCACCCCGAGTGTCTTGACGGTGACGTTGTACATACATACTACATACGTACATAGATACACGGCATTTGCCTGTTAGCCAACTCTCGCCTGCCACGCCCTCGCAATGGATGGCGCGCCCTCATCCGAGAGCCATGCCATTACTCCCCAGCTACGCCAGAGGATGCTGAACCGCGCTGCCATCTTTGGCGAGAGTGTACAGCCGTCGACGCCACCCACTGCAGTCTCTCGCCGCCGCAGTTCTCTTGTATCAGACCTCTCGGACACGCGACCCTCGCTCTGGTCCTCAACAGACAACCTACCGAGGACGGGTGTCAAGTATGACATGGACAGGCAAGATGCCGCCTCGGATGAGCCTTCACGGTGGATTGCGCTGCCCGTCGTGGCTGCGGTTGTGCCTGCCATTATAGGCTTGACGGTGGAGAACGGCGCTGTGATTGCGACTGATGTGCTGATATTGGTGTTGGCGGGCTGGTTCCTGCACTTGAGTGTCAAGGTGCCATGGTAAGCTGCAGCCAGCCATTGCGGGCGGAGAGCGTGGACAGAGCGAGCCTCACTGACAGGACGCAGGGACTGTTACCGTGATGCCCAGCAAAGACGATACATCAGCGATGAAGCCGACGACGAAACGTACGATGACACCATCCATGAAGTAAACGAAAACGACGTACATGACATAGCCGAGGGTGTTGGCGACGGAGCAAGCCAGGAGCAGGGTGACATGAGCCCTGCGCCTTCAGTGACATCGCCAGCACAGCAGGAGGCTCGCGAGGCTCTGAAGCGATCAGAGCTACTGGCGTTTGTTGGATGTTTCCTGGGTCCGCTTCTCGGGGCGCTCCTCATGCATACCGTGCGAGGGCAGTTGATGCGCGCCGAAGGCATAGTCTCCGACGCCAACCTGAGCATCTTCCTACTGATCGCAGAGATTCCGCCAGTCAATCGTCTAATCAAGATGCGTACTGAGCGCATATTGCACCTACAGCGCATTGTGCGAGATACGCCGAGGGGTCCAATTCGACCCGCCGATGCGCAACAACTTTCGCAGCGTATAGCCGAGCTCGAAAGCCGTCTCGACGGCGCGTCCTCCTCCAACAACAAAAATACCAACCAGGTAGACGTAGAGAAGCTCAGCACCGAAATCCGCCAGACTACGCAACTGCAACTCGATGCGCTCAATCGCGCCGTCAGACGATATGAGAAGCGCCATATGGCGCAAACCCTTCAGATTGAGGCACGTTTTCAAGACCTGGAGGCTCGCCTTCAAGATACGCTCGCGCTTGCTGCCGCCGCAGCCAGAACTGGCCACCGCCCAGGCATCATCACTGTGACAATTAGTTGGATAGCTGGGACAATTAGTAGCATGTTGCAACTGGTCTGGGATATCTCCATGTATCCCTTCCGGACCGCAGCGATTGTTTTATCAGTCATCAAGTCGATGTTTGTCCCGGACAAGCGGCAGACCAAACCGCGAGTAAAGGGAGGGCAGGTCAATGGACATACGTCGATATCATCGAGTAGGATGCAGTCCAAAGTTGGGCGATGAAAGTGTGTAATTACTAATTTCCTTGGATATCCTATCAAATACAAGTTTGCTCGTCTACCCTGCCCCCGGTCTTTTGTTTGCACGAGATAAACGTATCATGTCGGTCCTTTGCTAGTGCCCGGCCTGGGTGAGCGATGCGACGTTACATGGCATTGTCAATTGTCAAGAGTCATGCTATCTTCCGGCTCCGTCCAATCCAGTAAGCCGACATGCAGGTACGGAGCGGCTCTCTCTAATGCGAGCGACGGAGATAGCTGGGAGCGTGGCTGTTCAACGTCGTACCCCGCCCCCACCTCCATGGCCTATCGGAGCCGAACACGGATGGAGGTGTCACATTGTCATTACGGCAGTAGTAATATGTACGTCTTCTAGGTGGCCTTTACATTCTTTCTTCGTTTCAAGACTTTTATTCTTTCTCCTTAACCCAAGGCCGCGTTTGTTGAAGTCAGAAAAGAGACAGCCAAAAGCCATAGTTACTACATACGATTTGATCATGACGCTGAAATCGGATGTGACGGTAGATGCATCCAAGTTTGATCGCAGCACCATCGATAAACAAACGCTGGAGTTTAACGACAGATTGATCAAGATATGGGCAGATGGACCAAGATGGTATGAGGTATGTATTGATTTTCACATACACTTCTCATTAGATTTTTGGCTATGGGACTTACGTGCAAAAAAGGTTGGCGCGGCAGAATACCGAAAGATGAGATGGGAGGGCAAGACGCCATTGCCAAAACCCATTGTTCTCCCTGAAGGTGTCAACGGAGCGCTGCCTTCGCGAGAAGCCGGAAGAGAGATTCCATACCGTGTCTTCAAGCCGAGCAGCGGTAAGAGCAATGGCATTCACATGCACATCCACGGCGGTGGATGGGTTTTGATGAGCGAGGCTTAGTAGGTTTACGATAGTTTCTTAAGACGCACAACAAACAGAAGAAACTGACTCATTTTGCGAAGCCAAGATCCGTATCTCAAGTACATGGCCGACCATTTTGACGTTACAGTTGTGTCAATTGGATATCGGCTTGCGCCGGAGGACCCCTGGCCCGCAGGCGCAGAAGACTGTTATGACGCCGCTGAGTGGCTAGTGAAGAACGGACCAACAGTCTTTGGCGGAGAATTGATGTTCACAGGTGGTGAAGTATGGATATCCTCAAGTTATCCTAACTAAGCCAAAACTTGAAAGCTGACGAATACACATAGTCTGCTGGAGGTCATCTCGCCTGCCTAGTTGCCTTGCATTTGCTGGAGACGATGCCAGAATTTGCATTCAAAGGCCTACTCCTTCATTTTGGCTGCTTCGACATGTCCTCATTTCTACCACACGTCTTGCACCACGAGACACATTTGGTAATCGACCACGATGTCATGAAATCGTACATTGACGCCTTGCTCCCCAACACGACGGAAGAGCAGCGCCGCGACCCGTCGATAAGCCCATTTTGGGCTGACTTGAGGGGAAAGAAGTTGCCGCCTGCGCTGTTCACATGTGGAAGTGAAGATCCGCTGCTAGATGATAGTGTCATGATGGGTAGCAAGTGGGCTATGTGGGGAAACGAAAGTATAGTCAAGATTTATCACGGGGCGCCGCACGGGTTTATCGGGTTTCCGCCTGGCACAATCAAGGCGGTTCAAGATGCATTGGATGATACAGAGGCGTTTGTGAGGGCGAAGAGAGGGTCATAGGTTTTTGCAGTAGATAGTTGCTGGTTGGTCAAATTAGAGTACTGCTAACACATGTTTGTTTCCACAATGTCGCTCAACTGCCAATCTCAGATAGTCAGAGAATGAGCAACATAAGCCAATACGAAATGCGTCTCGCTATAACCATAGCTTGCATTTTGAAAATGTTTGTTCCTTTTGAAGGCCATCGCGAACATTATTGCGGTGGTGGTGTCGGGATCAAAGTACCGTAAATGGAGGCTGGGCCCTGACTAGCGGAAGTAACCGTGTTTCGTCATAGCTAGCAAAGCACGGCCGACTATCATCCTCCAACTCTGCCGAACCGAGACGCGACCTGGAAAACTTGGAGTTTCTTTCTTCCTCTCACTCTCCCCCATGCGCGCCATGGCCAGATAGTTCAATCAAAGGAAAACTCGCCCAACGTCATCATGGCAGACAGTGAGAGTCCCGACCGGCGGTCGTCACGAAGGAGAAGCGGCATGTACCGCCGTGGCTCCCATATCAGCGAGTATGTGCTGCAGGCAGCTTGAGGCCATGCGCGACTAATTGGCCTAGGGCAAGCTTCATGGAAGATGTCGAAATGGCCCAAGATGAGGTATACGAACTCGCGCCCATGGCCCCTCCCCGTCCCCCGTACAAGCCTCGCGGTAGTAAGAAGCCTGGCCAGCAGCTGACGCCCAAAACTATCCAGGTCTTCTCCGGTCCCATGAGCGAGAGCGTCCCTACGAGTGTATCTGGATTCCGACACCGCCGTTCGCGCGCAGACTCGAGCGCCAGTCTGACGAGTTTCGCATTCTATGATGAAGAGCAGGATTCGGGCGAGGGCACTGATGACGAGGATAGCGCCATACTGGAAGATGGCGAAAGTGTATACAATGGCTACGCCGATGAGAATGGCGAAGAAACGGAGGATCTTGAGGCAGGCTTGTCGTCGTCCTCGCCCTCACCCTCGCCATCACGGCGCAAGTCGAGTGGCTCACGGCGCAAGTCAAGTGGTGGCAGCAGGAAATCATCGGAGCGACCGCTGCTACGAAGGCGCTCGTCAACAAGCAGCGCGGGTTCGGGCGCCGACTGGAGAGGACGCAGGTCGAACCAGAAGATTTACATCATGACCGAAGACTTGACCATTGTCGTTGCTGGCTTTAAAACGTCGCCCTTTGGATACGCCCTGTATGCGCTGCTGTGCGCCGCCACACTGGGTCTCGGCTGGCTCATGTTCAGATGGTTGCCACGATGGAGAGTAGCCATTGTGGGAAAGAGTGCGCCCTTGAAAGAGTGCGACTGGATTGTCGTCGAGAACCAGTGGGGAGAATTTGCGGTACAGAACATCAGTCGCCAAACCTATGGACGCTCGCTGTCCACCGTGTTCGGAGACCCCGAAAAAGGCCGTCCGAGAGAATGGGACGAAGATGACGATCCGCTTATTCGCGAGCTTCGATGCTTGGACTACCGCTACATCCGCTTCGTCTACCACCCCATCAAGGACAAATTTGTGCTGGCCAATACCTGGAAAGACCCCAGCTGGACCGATGTCCTGGCTCTCCGTGAGGGTCTCGACAACGATGAGCGCGACTACCGGGAGTTAGTCTTTGGCAAAAACATGATCGACATCGCCGAGAAGACGGTCGGCCAGCTTTTGGTCGACGAGGTTTTTCATCCCTTCTATGTTTTCCAGATTGCCAGTTTGATCCTCTGGTCTCTCGACGAGTACTACTACTACGCCTGTGCCATCTTCATCATTTCTGCCGTTAGTATCGTCACGACACTGGTGGAGACCAAGGCTTCCATGAGACGCCTGCGCGAAGTGTCCAAGTTCGAATGCGAAGTACGCGTGTTGCGCAGTGGCTTCTGGACGCACCTCGATTCTGCAGAACTCGTACCTGGAGACGTTTACGAAGTCACCGATCCTGCACTTACACAGTTCCCATGTGACAGTTTACTCTTATCCGGAGACTGCATCGTCAACGAGAGCATGCTGACCGGCGAGTCTATTCCCGTGTCCAAAATCCCCGTCACAAACCAGTCACTGGATCTGTTGGATCTTAGCGCTTCCGCCGTTCATCCAGAGGTTGCCCGCCATATGTTGTTCAGTGGAACCAAGATCATCCGCGCCCGCAGACCGCACGAAGACCATGTAGACGATGAGGCTGCTGCATTGGCCATGGTCGTCCGAACTGGCTTCAACACCACCAAGGGCGCATTAGTCAGATCAATGCTCTTCCCCAAGCCTTCGGGCTTCAAGTTCTACCGCGACTCTTTCCGGTACATCTCCGTCATGGCTATGATTGCCATGATTGGCTTTGTTGCCTCGTTTATCAACTTTGTCCATCTCGGCCTTGAATGGCACTTGATTGTTGTACGCGCGCTCGACTTGATTACCATTGTTGTCCCTCCCGCTCTTCCGGCCACTCTCACCATCGGTACGAGCTTTGCACTTTCGCGGTTAAAACAGAAGCAAATTTTCTGTATCAGTCCACAAAGAGTTAATGTCGGTGGCAAGCTTGATGTCGTCTGCTTCGACAAGACTGGAACACTCACCGAAGAGGGCCTAGATGTGCTGGGTGTCCGTGTAGTTGAGCGGCCCCGCAATAGGTTCAGCGAGCTTCTTCCAGACTCCTATGACATCTTGCCAGCGTCGCAGCATGATCGTGACCCAACTGTCGAATACCACGCCCACAAAACCATTCTCTACACCATGGCTACTTGTCACTCACTACGCAAGATTGATAACGAACTAGTCGGCGACCCATTGGACGTCAAGATGTTTGACTTCACTGGCTGGAGCTACGAAGAAGGTGAGCAAAATGGTAACTCGGGCGATGAAGACCCTGAGCAGAAACTGTCACCGTCCGTTGCTCGTCCACCACCAGGCCGCGAGTATGATATCGATGACGTCGAAGACGAGGCCAGCCGAAAGCAAGTCGAGCTTGGCGTCATCAAATCGTTTGAGTTTGTCTCGCAACTCCGGAGAGCCAGCGTTATTGTGAGACAGTTCGGGTCAAAGAGCGGCCAAGTCTACGTCAAGGGCGCACCTGAAGTCATGAAAGAGATCTGCCGTGCCGACAGCTTCCCCACTGATTATGAAGAGCTTCTCGCTTTTTACACGCACCGTGGCTTCCGCGTCATCGCTTGTGCTACCAAGACAATTCCAAAGCTCAACTGGCTCAAGACTCAAAAGATGAAGAGAGAAGAGGCCGAAAGTGGCCTTGACTTTGTCGGTTTCATCATTTTTGAGAACAAGCTCAAGGACAGCACGGCTCCAGTCATCGAAGAGCTTGAGCGCGCCAATATTCGCAAGGTTATGTGTACTGGTGACAACATCCTTACTGCCATCAGTGTTGCTCGTGAATGCGGCCTGATCAACAAGACGGCCCATTGCTTTGTCCCCCACTTTGCAGAAGGTGATTCACGCACCGCCTTGTCGAAGCTTTGTTGGGAAAGTGTCGATGACCCGGTTTTCAAGCTCGATGATACAACGCTCAAGCCTCTTCCACCGCCACCTGAGGCCGATGTGTCCCTTCCGTATGACATTTCCAACCTGCGCAACTACAGCTTGGCAGTAAGTGGTGATGTCTTCCGCTGGATTGTTGATTTCGCATCCGAATCCGTGCTCCGTGAGATGCTCGTCTGCGGTCAGGTCTTCGCCCGTATGTCGCCCGACGAGAAGCATGAACTGGTTGAGAAATTGCAATCAATTGACTACTGCGTCGGCTTTTGCGGTGATGGTGCAAACGACTGTGGAGCGCTCAAAGCCGCTGACGTGGGCATCTCTCTTTCCGAGGCTGAAGCATCAGTTGCCGCTCCTTTTACGTCCCGCCAATTCGACATTAGCTGTGTGCCTCAGGTCATCAAAGAGGGTCGCGCAGCGCTTGTAACAAGCTTCAGCTGCTTCAAGTATATGAGCTTGTACAGCGCGATACAGTTTTGCTCCGTCTCATTTCTGTATGCCAGCGCCAGCAATCTTGGCGACTTCCAGTTCCTCTTTATCGACCTCTTGCTTATCCTCCCCATCGCCATCTTCATGGGTTGGTCAGGTGCATACCCTATCCTCAGTCGCAAACGCCCAACTGCAAATCTGGTATCCCGCAAGGTGCTTACCCCGCTGCTTGGACAAATGATCCTCTGTATCCTGGCTCAGTTCATTGCTTTCCACTTTGTCCAGAAACAGGAGTGGTACCTCCCACCGGTCATCGATAAGAACCACAGCAACTCGTTGAACTCGCAAAACACGGCCCTTTTCTTGACAAGCTGCTTCCAATACATTCTCTCGGCCGTTGTCCTCAGCGTAGGCAAACCCTACCGCGAACCCATGTCCCGTAACCTCCCCTTCATCACCACCATCTTCGTCACCCTCGCAATTACTCTGTACATGCTGTTCGATCCCGCCAAATGGGTCATGCAAGCCATGGAACTCACTTACATGGATGTCCCCTTCAAAATCTTCATCCTCACCCTGGGCCTCGGCAATTTTGCCCTCGCATATGTGAGCGAGAGAGTGCTTTTCCCCGGCCTAGCCAAGTGGATTGGTGTACTCAAAGTTAAGCTGGGGGGCAAGGGCATGCAGAAGAAGAGGAAAGAGTACAAGGTTATTGCCGAGAGTATGCGCATATAAATTAAGCTAGCGAGAAGCGAATCTGAGCAATGTTTGAGATGAAGATTGAAAAAGGGATAGATAGAGACTTGTGATTGTGTATTTTGTTTTCAATCGCGTAAGATATAGAGGCGTTGGTGAAAAGATGGGGGGCATTGTACATGTGCTTTTTATGTTTTTGTTAGCTAAATGAATAAGATTTCAATATCATTTGCATACATGTCCATGTGTTCACACTACCAAATTCTTTTTTTTTCTTCTCCTCATCTCTTCTCTTCAACTCGTAAGCCCAAGAACCCACACACACACACACACACACACACACACATTAAACAAGGCAAGCAAAAGAAAATACATCAGTTGGGGTATCTAGTTTATATTGTTTCTGCTATCCGCTTTGCTTTCTTTGCTGCTAAACTATACATGCATGTACATACATATCGGCAGTTTGGGGGCCAGCCTAGCCCCGACACCCTTGATCTCGGGAGTGTGTATGCAGAGGAGAATAACTAGAAGAAGGGTTGGTGGGGAAAAAAAGTAGAAGTAGTGAAAAATAAAAGAGAAAAAAAAGGATAAGTACATCCATGAGAAAACGCCCGCCCGTCCTCCCTTGCGCCAATCCTGTTTGCGTCTGTACTCCTGGAGTTTGTTCGTAACGTCGTTAAAATGGTGATGGTTACTGTGCCCCCGGGCTCTTTTTTCGTCTCCCACCCAATCTGACTGCTCTTATGACAAAAAGGACCATGCTTCGTCTCCTCTAAGAAACCTCAAGAAGTTGGAGAACACAAAAGAAACGCTTTGTTTTCTCTGGATTTCGGGACTTTAACCACCTTGTACCGAAGGAAAAAAGCTTCGTACCGACAGGGCCTACCATTTCTGGGAAAGAAGCGTAAGCCAAAAGAACCAAAGCAAGACAAGAGGAAATGACAAGAATGCACCTGCTCACTTCTTCCGCCTCTTAGGACTTCTTTTCCTCGTCTCGTCTTCTACTTCCTCGACTGTTGCTGCTGGGCTAGTCGTCGTACTGCTCCCCAGGCTATCGACCCTGGTGCTACTCTCTGTACTATCATCTCCCATGACCCCTACGCCAAGGTGCGTGGGGTCGTCTCCACCATTGATGTCTGGAAATGTGAACGTATCCGCGGTAGGCTCGTCTAGAGGGGCCGCAGCATCAAAGTTGAAATCAGGTAATACGGTGTTGCCGTTCACGTGTGCTTGTGTACCGTCGGCATTGGTGGGGTTGTCGGTGAAGAAATCATCGTCATGAACAAAGTTGTCCATGTTTAGGTCGTATTGTCCAGGTTCTCCGAGGCCATTGGGATCGAAATATGAATTCTGGTCGCCAATGCCTTCAATTCGGCCCGTTGGGCTAAGCGGCAATATTCGGTCGTGTATGTTCTGAATCTTGGAATTCTGTTGATCCGACAGTTTCTGCAGCATTTCCAATTGTTGTTGAGTCGCTTGGTATTGAGCAAGATCGTCGAGCAAGCGGCTCACTTCTGGCGGGTTGGGGTTGGTGAGGGCATTATCCGTATTTTGTGCAGCCGTGTTGTTTACGATCTGCGATAGTACGTCGTTTCGTTGCTGTTGAGTGAGGGGCACATGTCCGTCTTGGGTCTGGTAGTTTGATAAAGCCGCCGCATAGTCAAAGTCTGGCGTCTGGTTGGTTGACTGTCCAGCACTAGCGTTTGCGTTTTGTATCGCTGACATGATTGCGTCGTTTCCGGGGAGAGATGCGCCATTGGACGGTGATTCGGTCTTGACGTGTGATCCCGGCATGTTGTCTCTTCCTTGTTGGTCCGGAAAAGCAGATTGAGATTGTTGGCGATTGAGCGGCACCGAGGGCCTCAAGCCCTGTTGCCGACTTCCCGGCCGCGTGATGGGACTTGCCAGTGGTCTCGTTGTGGGGCTTACGGTTGTGGCGCGGCCCGTTGTGGTTGGCGCAAGGTATTCTTGTTGGGTGGAAGCGGGAGCGGGCAAGATTGCGAGTGGCCTCTTGTTTCTCTGCAACTGTGAGGCCTTGTGCGCATCTTGCATAGGATAGTCGTCCACGTCGACTACGTTACCGTGGGGTTGTTGGCGCGCAGAAGGGAACATGTCGGCGAGATTCATACCGTTTGCGTTACCCTCTAGGCTCCTGTTGTAAAAGGTTGCTAGAAATGTCAGAATGGCGTTGATTGAGTTCTCGTGCCGGTCGTGCAGTGCTTGGAACGATGTTGCTCGAGAATACAACTCTTCGTTCTGGCGCTTGATCTGTGTCAAGACGTTGGAAATGAGTTTCTGCTGCTGCTGAAGTTCCCTAACTTCAACCCGTAGACTGTTGTACTCTGACCGTGGGATCATAGCCATCTGCTCATTTCCTCGGACCGCCACCTCTTCAACATATCCACCGCCTCCAGTATCTTGGATATACTTGCGGTCTTCATCGCTGTCGCCCTTGTTTTCCTCGTCGCGTTTGCGTTTTGGTCCGGTCGGTGGGTTTTTGGGCTTCTGGATCAGCCACAGTAACTCTGGTCGCCCACGCTTGAAGTATTTGTTGTAGTACTCGCTGGGCGCTTTTGCCTTGGTCTCACTGGCCTTCATCGAGTTGTCTGACAAGCCAACCTTTTTGTGGAAGCCGTACATGTTCAACTGCCGAACAAAGGATGCATAATTGTTGTGTTTGAACAATTCGGGAATCAGGGTACGTGCAAATTCGTCCTCGTCCAGAACAATGAAGCTGTTCCCGTCGTCGGACCATCGAATGAGATTCTCGTTCTTGTTATTGTCGAGGAAACTGTAGAAAAATCAGCAACCATTCCGCGACTATAAACACATCCACGACATCTGGGTACTCCCAAATATGAGTACTGTCAGTTGTCGGGGAAAAACAAGTAGTGGCTTACTCACCTGCTCAATTTCTGCACAAATGGCGGAATCTGCTTTCGTTTTGCCTGTGCATCCTTCTTAGCGAGAGCCGCTTTCTGTTCCAGCTCTTCATCGTCGTCGACCGTTTCCCACTGCTGCTGAGGGCTCGCGAATCCGTCCCACTGACTACGCCGCGGGGCAGGAGCAAGCTGTTGGTTGGTGTTTCGTCGTACCAATTGGCCAGACATCTCCGTCCCGTCATTGTACCCGTCCAGCGACACGACGCGATTGTGGCCGGTCCCCATGGTCGGGCCGTAGTTGTCGTACAGTGGTGGGTCGGTGAAATTCATGTCGGTAGCCACTGCTGGGTCATTCCAATTGATGTATTGATCGGTCGGTGCGGGGATATCGTGTTGGTACGTCTGGGCGGGGGGCTGCGGGGATGCGACTGGCGCGCGTCGCTTGCGGTTCGACATGGGGACTTTTGTGATTCAGGCGGGAAATCGGAGTGCTTTCTCTGGGAAGTTGCTCTGTGCGGTGCGTATCCGCTGCTCCCGGGGAGTCACAGAAAGAATCTTCACGAGGCTCGGTGCGGGATATCAGCCTTGCAAAACCGATACGAACCGCACAAGTCGTGAAGCGCGCAGGTGAGTCAGCGCCCGGGATTGAATGCGGTATCTGAGGAGCGCGTCGTGGGCGCGATTATGTAGGGATTCTGGGCGGGATTGTTGATTTGTTTCGTTGTTGGTGTTTTACGGAAATATTAGGCGATTGTCGCCAAACAGCTGGCCGGCTCACACAAAGAGTCGGTAGAGGGGCATCAAAGAGGGCGCAGGCAGGCGGCAGGGCGGGAGAAGGCGGTCGTGGAATGGAGTGGGTGGTTCGGCGAAGGGCGTAGGTGGGCAGACATGGGCGGGCCCAGGTGAGGCCGAGCCAGTGACTTTACGACGCAGGACGCAGAGCAGCAGGCGGCGCAGCAGAGACGATGGTGGGCTCAAAAGAGAGAATGTCGAGCAAGATGCGCAACGTGTCCAGGCGCACCGTCTGGCCGGAAACAATAGCTGGGGGGGACGTGAGCGCGAGGCGGCGTCGGCGATATAGCGCGTAGTACTTGGATGGTTCGCAGCGATGAGATGGATTCACAGTCCTGCCAGCGTCATTCGCTTAGGCGCCCGCTAGCATGACTCGTCGGCTATGTCCTGGGCTTGTCAGGTGTACAAGTGTGTAGTGCCAACGTCGTCCGTACTTTAAGCTGCTGGCACACTGTGACACCCATCATGCAATTTCACAATGACAGAGCGACTCTCTCCCGGCCAACTTGTCCGATCCAGCCAGATCGACTTGAGATGCGTGGCCCAGTGCAGGAGTTTTCAATCGGCCCGGGCAGAGGTGGAATGATGGGAAATGCTCCAAATGCGATAGATGTCTGCCTACTTTCCGATGCATCCAACGGTCACATGAGCTCAGCTCAGTCTTAAGGGGCCAGGATCCGCCATGGCAGACCCGGACACTGTACCCGAAATGGCTCCCCGAGGAACTGCATCTTATTAAAAACTACGATCCACGCCCAAGGTTGAGATCGTGGCCACCTATCCGACTCATCCACTGTCTCCATCGCGAAGAACCGTGCCCAGACCCTACATGTCCCTTTACTAAGAAAAAAAAAAGCCCGAGACACCTCCCTATCACAAACACTACCGTGACACGTCGTACGAGTTGACACTGTACTACATACCTCAAGCCCCACAATATGTCTCACCCTCGGTCTCATCCGAGCTACGTATGTCGATATACAAATCATCTTATGGCACATGGAAACAAACGTGGGCACCCAGGTCCTTTTGTTTTTGTAATTTTTTTAGCTTCATTTCGCGCAACGTACAAAGGTTGAGTGGAGGAGCCCGGTGTTCAAACTATTCACCTTCCATTATCGTACTGTCGCGCCAGGCACCCAGCACCAACCTAGACTATGACTGATATCCAAGGCGGAAAAGTGGGGGAAAAAAAGAGAAAAAAGAAAGAACAATCGAAAAAATCAAAGAGAAAGACAAGAAACCCACAAACTTCCAACTGTGCGCCGAATGCAGCTTCGATCTCATCTCTCTCTCTTCCTCCGTTCAAAAAACTAAAACCCAGTTACTACAACGTCGTCGGGGACTGCGCGACTCAATATAAATATGTAAAAAAACATATCCCATATGTTCATAAATGCTTTTTTGCTGTATCCAAAGTTGAAATGCGAGATTGGTGGGGGGCGCGGGCCCGATTTAGTTCTGGATGTAATGTCTCTACCATCGTGGCATCATTCTCTTCGTATGCATCGTAAAGTCAATCCAGTGTTAGTAGCGCGGCCAATTGCTGGCTGTAGGCCGTTAAACGTTCGTCGTCATCGATTTCGTTCGTGGGCGCCATCGCACGTGTCGTTGAACGAGTGATGATACGTGCGACGACGGTTGGTTTCGTGCGTGGAGCTGACATACTACTGGCCGACAAGAATCTCCACATTGGATTGCGATGATAGCTCGTCGCTGCCACGATTCTGGTGTCCATTCTGTCGCGGGCGGCTGAAGCCCTGTCCTCGCTCAGGAAGCGGTCCGCGAGGTTGTCGGGATGGCCGGTCATCGTAGTTGGTGCTAAAGGTACGGTGTCCGCCAATTGGGCCAGGGGCGTCCCAAGACGTCATCTGTCGCAAGGATCGGGGGCTGCTGTTCTGCGGGTATCCTGATGAAAGCTGCATTCGGCTCATCTCCCTTTCTAGTAAACCATCGTCACGCTGCGACATGGAGCTGTTTGTCGGGGTGCCATTGGGGTTCGTGGAGCTTCCACTATAGCCAAGACCCTCGAGCGAGATGCCACCTGGTCGACCAATGGGGTGGCTAGCAGTAGAAGGGGCAGGTGACGGCGTGTAAGATCTGAGATCTGCGTAAGACTTGGCGCCACGAAGATTGGGCACCGCGTTAAGGCCGCCAGGCGAATCAGGGAATCCGAGAAGACCTGATGGCTGCCTGTTGAAGGCGTTATAAAAGCCACCCTCTGCGCGTACATCGCTGAAATCTGTCGTGGCCGCGCGGTTCAAATTGCGGCGCGGTTGCTCAAGAGGGTTGCTGACCATTTGCGGCATTGGGGGGCTGAGCCCCTGAGTATCATAAACCTTAAAGATGTGCACCTGGCGCTGATCACCAGTGCCTTTTGAAATGTGCGCAAGCCCGAGCTGATGGGCCAAGGTGTGAATGGTACGGCGCTGGAGAGGAGCCAGGTTGGCGGGGAAAGTCATGCTATCGCGATCCTTGGCCTCCTTGAACAGAAGAAGCTGGGTGTAAAATTGTAGTGATTGCGGGTCATTGAGGTCAACATCTGTGTATTCAGTTAGTTCGAATTTTTATCCTGTAATAACATCAGAAAAAAAGGGGGGGGCTCAAACGTACCGACAGTCTTTTGTCCACTGCCCCTCATGGCTGAAACGGGTGAGGGTGATGTGGCAGGCATGTGGGAGGCAAGAGATCCAAAGGATGCCTGGGACTGAAGACCGCCACCAAGCGGCCGGTGTTGTTCCTCGAGCTGTCCGCGTCGCTCTCGCTTCTCTCGCTCGATGCGCTCACGCTCGGCAAGGGGCAGCATCTTCTTGTACTCGACGCGCAGCTTCCTGCCGTTGAGCTCAAAGTGGTTCATCGACTCAATGACGGCAGCGGTTTCCTCTGCGGTGGTGAAGTTGGCAAAGGCCAGACCTCGGAAAACGCCATTGTCAAAGTGGTAGTTGAAGGCGTAAGGAAGGGGCAGGCGCAGCTCTGTCATGAGCGAAACCAGTTGCTCCTTCTTGACTGCAAAAGGGATATTTTTGATGACGATGGCTGTGGGGATGAGTTCCTCGTCGACGTCATGGCCGTAGCTCGTGTTCTGCATGGTGTTGAGGTTGGAGTTACCGAGGGCGAAGCTGGGCAGACCCTGAGGCTGCTGGTCCATCCATCCCTGAGAAAGGTGGGTCAGCATCGTGGCAAAAACATGTGCACGAGGGAGTTGAGTGGGTGGGAATGTGGTTGGAGGAAGATGAGGGGGAAGAGGAGGAGGAGGATGATGATGAGGAGGAGTGGCAGTTGTTGTCAGGGTCCTTACCGATGGTAGTGCGCTGCGGCCTCCTTGACGCTGCTGCGACTTGATGCGGGCTTGGGCGGCACCTCCCAGGGAGCCCAGAGAGCCGTTTTGGGCAAAAGCATTCGTGTTCCAGGCGGTGGCAGAGCCCATGTCGTAGGCGCCGTAGGCAGCGCCAGCGTGCATGGTCTGGTTGAGGCGCTCGTAGTTGCGCTGCTGGTCGTAGGGGCGCTGGTGGTCGTCTTGGGCGTACATGTTTTGCTGTTGCGGGACTTGGCCGTAGGCGTCGAACTGGCGCGATGGCATGCGGTGCAAAGAGCCTGTTTGGGGCTGGGATCGTTGGGCAATGGGCGACCGCGACGTGTTGTGGTCGTAGCCCGACGAGTACATTATATGCGGTGAGGGTTAGGGGGGTCTTGGGTCGTAAAGAGGACGTAGCGTGCGGGTTGGAGACGCAGGCAGCGGGCGGCGCAGAAAATTAGGGCGGAGGTACGAGACGGTGGCCCAAGCTCGCGGAGAGGTGAAATGAGCGGAAGGCGACGGTCGCGAACGAGTCTTTGAGCTTGGGAAAAGGGGGCAGATGAGGCTCGAGCAGCCGCGGTCGAGGGTTGGCGGGCTGGCGGGCTGGCGGGCGTGTGCTGGGTGGACGGCGCAACAGGAGCAAGGGAGCCAGGGGATGCCAGGCGGACCGGACCCAGCGACACTTGTTCCCCTATCGAGCCAAAGCCGCACGTCTGGGTGGGCCGCGAGCAGCAACAGGGCCACGGGCTAGTCGATGTCAAAAAAAGGGTTCAGATATCGCCTACGAGCCTACAGCGGGAGGGGGGTCGAGGGGGCAGTCAGGGACGAAGGGGGAGCAGTTCCGGGCGAGGGCGACGGCTGGTGCGTGTGTGCTTGGGTTGCAAAAGTCTCGCTGAAGCCCACTAACGGCGCGGGGAGGCGGCTGCACACGTGCGCACCGACGGTGGCCAGACGAGAGCCGATTCTTTCTCGTGCAGGATACATGTGGGAAATATGTACTGTGTACATGTGTTGGAGTAGATGATGTATGTGTGTGTGTGTACGAGGGCATTGAGTACAATACGTATCCCAACTTGCAAGATAGTACATGGAAATAACACATTTATTCATTGACTCTCTCACATACTACCACACCACTGCCATACCTTCCCACTAATATCCCTCACACATACATACACAGGCAAGTACCCTCCCTGCCTCGCTCGTCCCACCGTGGCCTCAACAGCAGCCCTTGCTCTGGTCGCTGACACGCCGTTATTACTCTGGCCGGCTTACATGCCCTGCACACTGGCCCTATTACTCGCGGAACCATTTCCAAGACCGGACCGGCCAGCTTCGCCAGAGAAAACAATATTCAATAAAATGATGCGAGGGGTGCAGATGCAACCGCAGCCACAGCCACAGCCACAGCCTTGTATGTAGGTACATGCATACATGTACACTACTTACTTACTTACATACGCATGTACACACACCCATACCCACACAACTCACATAGATACATGCAGCCAGCCCGCCACAGGAAAGAGCCATGGCCCGGTAGTCGGGAAGTCGCCAGCTGGCGGGCCGTAGCGTTAGCTTCCCTACTAACAAACCTCCACCACAGCAACAGCAACAGCAACAATAATAATAATAACAACAACAACAACAACAACAACAACAACAACAACAAGTACACTACTCTTGTCCTCCCTTCTGCACCCCCCCGCCGCCACTGACGACCCTTAAACCCGCGCCAAACATGTCGTCAACGACGGTGAACATGGGGCTCCTGCGCCCCCTCCAACCTCATCGCCATGACGCTCGGGGAGGATGACGCGCCCACGAGACGTCGTCAGCTGCACGTTGCCACCAATAATCTCGCCATTGCACCCTTCACCGCACTGCTCCCCAGATGTGCACAGTAATAATCCTGCAATTCCATCCTATCCCAAGCTATCCACCCTTTCACAAAATCACCACGCCCTTGTCCTCCCCTCCCGTCAATCAAACATGACCCTTGCGTGCACACACCAAATACCAAATGCTACCTCCACCTAATCCAACCCCCAATGCCGCTCTGCATATCCACTCCAAACGGGGCTTCTGGATTCATCAGGCTAGTATCGCCTCTGCACCATGGTCGTGGATCCCACACGCCCATCCATCCGACTTCCCGCTTTTATCAACTTTCCGACTGGCTGCCCGACGCTCCTGTCGTCTGAAGGATCGCTTAGTCGCATGCATGGAAAATCATGTGATGCTGACCACTTCGACACACACACACACACACTCCTTACCTCTCATCACTCACACTACTCGCCGTTGCAAATTGCCCTGCCCTGCCTGCCTCTGACTATGGCTTGCATGGGTGGGTTGCGCAATTCCCCCGAAGCAACGGCTGTGCTTGCTTGCTTGCTTACTCTATTCTATATTTATTACAACACACGGCACTCAATCGTCAAAGTCAAGCAGTCGCGACCATTCGCTCTCACCCACTCGACGGAACTCGGCACCTGCTGCAAACTGCCCGCTAGCCTCCCACGCCTGCATGGTTGCCTGGTCGTAGGGCCCGTTAATGTCCCCCTCGGGTGCATTGAGCCAGTGGAACTCCCATTGCACTGGCTCTGGATTGGGATTCTTCCAATCTTCTCCCGTCTCGCGCTTGTACTGCCGCATGATGGATTCACGCGGCAGCTCATAGATGTCCTCCACACCACGGTCCGACAGGCGACTTGCGCACTCGGTAATCGAGTCAATGACCTGCTTCGCTTTTGCTGCTGCTGCTTCCTGCGATGGGTCTGTATCCACCTCCATGCTCTGCGCCTTCTTCTTCTTGGCCCAGTTGTTGGTCGGTTTCTTGGGCACCGCTTTGCCGTATCGCACTAAGGCCTCCATGGGTGTTTCTCCTACTTCGAGATGTGAGATGAGAGTGGATAGCACTTCACTGGTCACTATCGAGTCTTCGGCTCGCTCTTTAGCTTTTCGCTCGGCATCTCTCTTGTCCTGTGCCTCTTTGGCTTTTTTCATCTCCTTCTTGGATATGCCCTCCAACCACGAGTCTTGAACGGCATCGGGGTCAAAGGCCTTGCGTACATAGTTGCCCGCCTCGTCAAATCGACCTTCTTCCTGTTCTGCACGCATGTTGAAGGCATCCAGCTTGGGCGCATGCTTTTTCTTGCTGCCCGCACCAAGCTCCTCGTCCATGTCAGAGTCTAGCCTGTCGCGCTCCTCGTCGTCGCCCTCGTCGCTGCTGCTCTCCACTTCATCTGTCGCCGCTTTGGCCCCTTTTGTGAAATCCACCGCTACGTGACCTCCAGACTTGCTGCTTTCTTCTTGTCCCTCAATCTCGGCATTGTCCAAGAAGCGCAGTTTCTTCTTTTTTCCCTGGTCCTTTCCAAGTTCCTCATCCTGCTCGTCCTCCTTTGGCTCGTCTGCAAACATGTCGTCGTCGTCATCGTCGTCTTTGGCAGGTTTTTCCTTTTTATGGTTCGCCTCCGCGCGAATATCAAAGTTCTCGGTTGAGCTGTCTGAGTCGTAACCATCAATATTGACGGCATTGCGTTTGATGCCTGCGCCTTTCCCTATGACATCAGCTTCCAATGCGGGGTCATCTTCGTCGTCGTCAGCGTCTGGGGCAAGCGTTGAGGGATTGCGTGGATCGAAGCGAGGTTTCTTGGTCGATGGCTCGTCCTTGTCCAGATGGTGAGTCCGTGTGAATTGCTCGCCGGCACGCTTTGGCCGCGCGGGGTTGTAGGTGCCGCTTGAGCTAGCCATGGTTGTAGCGAAGGCGTAGAGTCGGGGATGCACACAAGTTCGTAGTAGTATTAGGATGTCGAGGTTTGCGCATCCGCCAGTGACGTCTTCGCGCGTTCTAGAAATTTGGAGCTTGGGCCAGTTGCGGCGAACAGCCTGTGGCTCCGGCATGCACACATGGCTCAAACCGCTGTCCGTAGTGTTTGCCTACAGTTCGTCATCTTTGAGTCCATACATCTGCGCCTTCTATTGTTTGGTCTTTGTGTCCGCATCTCACGTGCCTTTCCTTCTCGTGTCTTCCCCGTACCTAACATCCCCTTCGCGCCCTGATTACTAATTTGGAATGGTGAGAGTGACCCCGCCACTACCACCACCCTGTATCTCAATGCCCGACTCACCACATCTACCAGTTCAACCCCAACTTTTACGACCAAGACGACCCCATGGCCATGTATCAGGCTATCCGACGCGGCGGCGGCGCACCTAGGCGCTTTGACGAGTACTTTCGTTGCTACCCCATTGCCATGTTGCCCGGCCCAGAGCGCCCAGAAGCAAACCACGGCGGAAAGGTGTTCCTTCCTCCCAGCGCTCTCGACAAGCTCACCAGGCTGCACATCACATATCCTATGCTCTTCGAGCTCATCAACGGAAAGCAGGACGGAAAGAAGACACATGCAGGTGTGCTGGAGTTCATTGCAGAGGAGGGTAAGATCTACCTGCCATACTGGTTGATGGAGACGCTCAAGCTGGAGCCCGGCGACCTCTTACAAGTCAAGTCGACCGACATACCTCTCGGCACCTTTATCAAGTTGCAACCGCAAGATTCTTCCTTTCTCGAAATCTCGGATCCAAAAGCTGTTCTTGAAAACGCGTTTCGGAACTTTTCATGTCTTACCACGGGCGATATATTCACTTTTGCGTACAACGATAATGTATACAGTATAGCTGTGCTCGAGACCAAGCCAGAACATCCAAGCAAGGCTGTATGCACCATTGAAACGGATCTGTCGGTCGACTTTGCACCACCAGTGGGTTACCAAGAGCCGCAGAGGACGAGCGGGACAAGCACCCCACGCAGCGGAAAGGGTGTCATGACTGGTAAGGGCGGAACTCTGCACGCGCACGGCACCATGGCGGATGCGATCAATTACGCGGCTATTGCGCCATCGGCAACAACTGCCGCCAATGGGGCAAAAGCAACATCATCCAATTTTCTTACAACCGGTCACAAACTTCTTAAGAAGGGTAGCAAGGCACCCACCCCGCAAGCCTCTACACCGGTGGCAGGACAATCCACTAACCCACCCCCAACCGTGCGACGCACAAATGGACCGCAGCCCCTTCGGTTACCACCCAACAAGCTGTTCTTCGGGTATGAAATCACGCCGCTCAAGAACAAGGAAGAAGCAGGCGAGCAAAAGGAGTCGAAGCACTTTGAGGGTGGGGGTCAAACTCTGCGAAAGAAGAAGGGGGATAAATAAAGTGGATCGGGTGGTGTTGGTTGGAAGATGTGGGTTCACCTTATGATATTCAGTGCTCGAAACAGGGAGGGGAGCATTTTATGGCGTTGATTCAAAGGGATGGGGTATGGTAGGGGGAATATGGGCACATGGCGTTTTTTGCACCTATACCTTATGGTGGTTAGAAGAGATTTATGGAAACTACAGTACTTCCTTCTTCTTTTGTTCGAGCATGTTTCACGTTTCTTGATCAAAGACATCAAGGAAGAGGGTGACGAAAAGGTGGGTACGTATGCAAGTGAGTACATCCACAAGATGAAGTTGCATCAAGGTATCCCGACTCCTACTTGATTAATCCTCCTCCTCCTCCTCCTCCTCCTCCTCCTCATGACTTCATCTAAGTAATCCGTAATCCCTCATACGCCTTGCCCTACCCTGCCCATTTCCCCACAAACCCAGTATGAAGCATAGGCAAACGCCCATTATCCCAGTATGAGCGCCCCTTGACAGGAATCCCCATATGAACCCGAACCCTTTGACAAAAGAAAAGTATCCCCTTCCTCCCACCTACTTGGAATCTCATCTCAGATCTCCTCTTCCACCTCCTCCTCCTCCTCTTTCTTCACATTACCCCTCCCCTTCCGCGCCCTTGCCTTCTTACTCGGCGACTCCAACCCAGCCTCGCGAGCATCCCTCGCCTCGGCATCATCCCCACTGCGTTTCCTCACCGACCTAGGCGTCTTCTTCTGCGCACTGTGGCCGGCGGCGCCTTCGGGCAGTGTCCAGCCGAGCTGCTCGTACAGGTCGCGCTGCTTGACGCGCAGGACGGATATGTGGTTGCGGATGCTGCCGATTTTTGTGCCTGTCGAGGCATGTGTGTCAGATTTGAGACAAGGGGGGAGAGGGAAGTGGGATGGGTTACCTGGAAAGGCAGTGGAGAGTTGCTCGTATTCTTCGGGTTTGACGTAGCGGCCTTGGGTTAGGAGGAGGAGCTTTGGGAGGGAGGGGGGGGTTTTTGTTAGTGGATGGGGTTGAGGAGGTGGGGTAGGAGGGGAGGGGTTTACTTTGAGGTCGTTTGGACCGTCCCACTTGAAGGCCTGTGGTTTGTGAGTTATCGTGAGTTCAGGTTAGTATCGGGGATGCTTACTCCATCAGTGGCTTCGCCGTTGGCTGGAGCTTTCTTTAGGGGCATTTTGTTCTGGTGTTGACTTGCTAATCCGTCTCAGGGGTGCTGTAGCGAGATGACACGGGTTGGCTATGTGTCAAGACCAGGTGTCACGAGAAGAGAAGTGCTGAGGTGGAAAGTTGGATAAGAGGTGGAGGGAGGGAGTTCTCTTTGTTCAGGTCTGATAATTATGGTAAAAAGCAGTGAGTGGGGAGTTGTACGGCCAAAGTGAGAGTGAGTCTGTTTGCTTCTTTGGGTACCGTGGGCTGGACAATGAAATTTGGTCTTCACTTTCACTTCAGGCACAGGCACACAGAGACAACGTTCAACTACACATCAAATACGTAAACGGATATGGTAAAGGGAGACGCATATCGTCTACTAAAAATGTGGGTAGAATTATCTGATAGTCGCTCATTCTTCACTTCACACATAGTATGAGGCGGACGAGCCGTGCAGGATAGTATTTCCTCCAAGCTTAACGAAATAGGGCTAGGCAAAGCGGCAGTGGTTCAACTGCCGTTAGTCTACAGGGGGGTTAAACTTGTTAGTTCACTTCCAGCGCCGATGACATTACATGACATGACATATGTACGTGTGTGTGTGTGTGTGAGAGAGAGAGAGAGAATGTATGTATGTGTATATGTACGTTGTAGGCCAACGAAATGCAGCCTCACTACCATGGCAGATCTAGACTCTGGCGCTCAGTAAGTAGCGACGAGCTGGGCCAAGTGAATACAGCATTAGTCAAACACATGGCACAACGAACAAGCGGCCCGCGGCGGACCGTTGTTCATGTCTCGTCAGAACATACGACGGCGACGGAGAAGGACGTTGCAGGCTGAGCTGAACAACCCGATACTATGCGTATGTAGCTCATTGTGGTCGGGGTCCGGGTCCGGGTCCGGGTCGGGGTGAGCTGATGTCTACATACGTCGCCCTGGCGGCGCAGTAGCGGGCGAGGGTTGAAGCAACGGTCCAAGGTGGTCGACGTGGTCGACGTGGTCGCAACGTAGAGCAGAAGCCTTGCCAAGCCGACGGAAGTTTGGGGTGGGTCGGGCTGTGCGTCTGCTTTGAAATTTAGGGCTTACGTACAACCGCCGGTGCTCCCGTACCTGTTCGCTCGCCTGTATCGCCCTCATGTCTAGTAAAGTACCACACCAGCGCCCGGGGACCAAAAATTGCTCGTCAGTGCCCCTCGCCGAAGTGGCCGTTCTGCCGATGCCGACTGCCAATGCGACTTGCGCCTCAGTCAGCGGCATCGTCTCTTGGCCTCTCGACTGCCGCGACCTCAAGTCAAGTCAAGTCAAAAGTCACTCCATCGTCGCCAGCGTGTGCCGTGCTGATGCCACCGGGCCTGCCGGTAGCGCAACTCGCTCGACAGCCTGCTCCGTCTTGTCCGTCTTGTCCGTTGTCTTGAGCACCTGTTTTGGCCCGAATTAGTAGCGAGCGAACCACAAACCACATGGGTTCGTTCACTGCAGAAACCATGTGCGCCGCTGAGACACGACGGGGGGTCGTAGCGTCCAAGCCCCGGCATACCACTCGATAGCCAAGGCTTCCGCCCGGGTGCTCACTGACGAAGCCTGTCCTCTGTGGCTTGGTCCATGGTCCTCATGTTCACACACACACATGACCACGGTCCTACCGCCTCGACGTGGCACTCCTGGCCAGTTGAATCCTTCCCACAGCCTCCCAGCCTCTCCCCATCCGCTTAGCGTCGTGTGAATTGATCTCTTCAACATGCTTAACGCTGGGAGACGGCCAATGGGATCTACACCAGACAAGGGTATGCTTCCGACCGTCTCCAGCGTCGACACTCTGTCTATACTTACAGCAAGCCTCCCAGGAAGCTTTCTTCCTGCCGCGTCTTTCTACCATGCTGTCTCATGTATATATTTCTCCCCGCTTTTTGTCTTAATGTCCTTCTATCTCTCTTCTCTAAGTTTTTAGTCTTGACCCAGCTTCTGTTAGGAAGCACAGCAATCAACCCTCCACCCCCCTCTTCTTCCACCCCTTTAACAATCCCACCACCCTAGTACCGCAGAATGTGTATCCGCGTCGTTGAAAAGTTTCCCGTCTGCGGTTGTACTTATCATGTTCACTCTGTGGATCGATGCGCCTCGTATGGGCGCCATCCAGTAGTGGACAAGATCATCTGGGTTGGCGCGTCCTGTCAAAATCATGGCACTCAAGGCAAGTGCCAAAGCCAATCTTGCTGAGACCACAAGCATATCCAGCACTACTTCAGATCACAATACCCGTCCAGTCTGAGAACCATGAACCAAAGTCGATATGGTCTAGCAGACGGATTTCGAGCATTGTGGGTGAAGTGTTCATGGCAGTCCCGGAGTTAAATCCGACAAAAAAAGACATACGTGTAAGTGCTATGATTTCCGTTACACAAAACGTGACTAATATCCAGATTATCAGACAGATGGTTACATCATCACCAATGAACTATTGGTAGAGAAGTCATCTCACACAGTCGTGGTTCTGCTGTTGAGTCCCCCCCTCACTCACCGCCAGCTCTCGACATGCTTGCAAAGACAGTAAGCACTGACAGACCAGGACGGCAAATCGTCTGGCAAAGGCAAAGATGGGGCAGAATGACATCGAGAAGATGCGTGATGCGGAATTGGGCTGCAATTCTGCATCTGCGCGCATGCCTGTTGTGCGTTTGCAAATGGTCCCAGCACGCTGACTGTGTTCGAGAAGCCTTACAACAACTGCGAGTGAAGGATTGACTAGGAGCCTCCCTGGCCCCCCATGTCATAGCTGGCTCTCAGAATGGCTCTTGCGCATTTGAAACGTACAACGGTGAACTTTATCCGGCCGTTAGCACGCCTTGTCAAGGCTGATACGACACCATCATCATGGTCTTATCTACCCATCGCCTTTTTCGCTAAAATGGCCCCGCTTATTACTCGCTTGCAAAGTCTCCCATGCGGATACTCTGGCCCTTTTCTCGATTCTTCTCCCGCTTCAGCCCCAGTTTTTCTTGTTGCGATTCCGTGTGGGCAGGAGCACGATCCGACGCCTCACCCGACAAGCCACATCGAGGTCATATTGCGAAACCCTACTTTCATGTACGTACCTAGTGTAATGCTCCGATAAACCATGTTTCCAATTGCCTGGATCCAAGCAGGGGCGGGGGTTGTGCGAGAGGTGCGGCTGTACTATGTAGAAGCGCTCAAGTTTTGTCGGACCCGCATATGCCAACAACCCTTCCCCCTCGATTGCGACAAGGAACCTCCCCTTTTTTTCTATCCAATGGCTCGGCATTGCGCACCAACACATGTTAGATACTCTACAATACAAAGTGTTCCATGGAGGTTCAAATAAATAAACTTCTGCCAGGCGGGTAAAACGTCCAAAAGGAATCTAAACAGCCACAAACAAAAAGCACGGATACACATCTGCCATTGGGCCCCCCGTCAGCGCGGTCTCGGAAATTAACCGTTTTTTCCCTTTGTCGCTCGCAATGACATGTCTGTTCAATTAAGTATGGTTTAGCGAATATCACTTGAGCCGCAACGTTTGTCCCTCGGCATGTATGTCTCTCGGGACATCGCCTCGGCTTGGCGTCAATACGCGTTTGACGCACTTATTGGTTTCAAGTAGTATTGCACGTGGAACACGACAACGGCCAATTCGGCCTTACCCGTTCATCTTCGATCGTTTCCCTTTTCTCGAGAATTAGGCTCTTTTTGTACACAGTAAAGTCCAGAAGCAAATGTGATCATCAAGACGCGTTGTAATTTGGAAATACGAACAAGGATTCACGTTGCAGACTTCTATGATTCCAGCTGTCTGTGTATGTTTTTCTCTTCTTCTTGCTGAAGTCGTACTATACAGAGACGGCAAAAAAGTGGATCACTATCAATAGTCCGAGTGACACTACAAGAAATGAATATCAGCAGTCAATTGCATCATCGAGCTTCGTATAGAGAAAGAATGCAGACCGGAAAAGACCATATCCACTTGAAACACACACACCACCACATGTATATGCCGTATACCAAGGCGTATCTACCGCATACCAATAGGTACCCACCGTATCTCACCTAGTTCAAACCACGTTCATATCACCGATTTTGTATGTAAAATAACTTCCTCTTTGAGAGGGTGCAAGCACTACTAGCATTCTCCTAGTTTAAACCACATATTTGTTTCACACACACACACACACACACACACACCCTTTACCGCATCCTTGACGCACCTCAAACTACATACACCGCATTATCCCCATATCCCTGTTCCCCTCTCTCTCCCCACCCAGCTGCATTGCACACCCCCTCTACCACGATCTCACTCCATCAACTCCAGCATAACCACCACAAAAACCTTGTTCCCGAAAAACATATCCGCAAACAACCCTTCAACTACCACCCAAAACAGGAAACCCTCCCTCCTCCCCCCTAAATCCCGAACTTTCTACCCGAAAGCCAAATCCGCATAACGCATATACGAACTTTAACCCCCCCACCCACGAATCCCCTCCCCTGCTCCCCCACGGATGCTGACAAAAAAACGAAAGAAGAAAGGAACACGATAGAATCACATAGAAATAAGCCTTATCAAGCTAAACAACCACGGACAAAACTTAAAGAAAACGGACCAAGTTTCTCGTCAAGCTCATTAAGAAACAGGACACACAAAAGAGCTGAGATAGTAGTAGTAGAGAGAGACAGGCAAGTGAGTGACCTCGCTAAATCCGGACCACATCTAACAAACTCGAAAAAAACAAATACGAAAATAAATCGTCATCTTATGCAAAAGCTGAAACCACAATCACCAACATATACAATACAGCAGCAGCACACACACACAGACACAAAAAAGGTATAAGTTTGCGAGATGCGTAAATGTAGCAAAAGCGAGTCAGACGAGTTTCAGGGTCTTTAGCTACTACTTTTCTGTTTTTGTGAACCTTTAGGGGGCGCCGGGAGGGGGGGGGGTGGTGGTGGTTGCACCGCCCTCCACCCCCCCCCGTCTATTCTCCACAAAATTGGGCTACATACTGCGTACAAGGGGAATAAAAGGGAAAGCCAAGACGGCGAGATAAAATTCCAAGTCAGATGGAGATTACACGTGGATGGGTGATGGAGCCAAGACGGAGAGATAAGTAGATACGCGGGTGTTTGCATGACTCGAGTCATGTATGTAGTCATCGGGTGGCACAAGTCATTTGCAACGTAAATGCGCAGGATACTCGGGATTGATCTTGTTTCTATTCTCCCGCTTTATATATACTACAAGGTGTATCCTTGTTCTTCCTTTCTCTCTCTCTCTCTCACACACACTCTCACATACCAGGTTCACACCTTCCCAATAACTAGACTATTCATCTTGTTCTTTTGATACACCACGTCTTCCCCTTCGGGTCTGAGACTTCAGGCTCCCAACCCAACCCCCACGCATGGACCCTTTTCCCCTACTGTAGTTTTGCTCGTAGAACATGAAGAGCAATTCGCATAAGAAAAAAAAAGAAAAAGGCCGTTTAAAATCAAAGACCATCAGGACCCGCTCATGGATGCAAAAAACAAGGGTCAGGAATGAGAAACTCAACAATAGGTAGAGCGGGCAAACAAAGCCGAAGCAGATGGCAGGACCAACCAAAAAAGGATAAGAAGAAAAAAAGGCTCAGTGCACTTCGCTGTGCTCTTCCTTGGGCTTGTACATGATGGTAGTCAGGAACTGTAAAGAAGTTAGTCTTAATATTTCACATAATAAAAACAAAGGACAGACATACCTTTTGCTTATATCTTGTCGTGGCACTTGTGGCCAAGATATTGTCCTTGATACTACTGGTAGCCAGATGATTCAGCACAGTGTGGTTGGGGTGAATCAACACGCTGCTGTCGTCCTTCATGGGCGTGGTGCCGTTCAAGATGCTCTTGCCTAGGAATCCCGGGAGCGTGGGTGGCGTGGGCAAGTTGTTGGTCATGGCATTTGCGCGCAGAAAACGCGACGAATCTTCCGGGGCATCGAGGTCGAGAAGGTAGCGGGGAATGTTCTGGTGATATCTTTTGGTGGGCTCGGGAGCGGGTGGTTTGGCTGGTTCGGGTAGCGGGGCCTTGATGGGCTGCACGTCGGGTGCTGGTGGGAGAACCTGAGGTGGGTACATGCCCGGTGGAGCTTGTGGTTCCTGCATAGGCGTGACAGCATCTAGCGCACCTTGTGCATCCTTTGACGGGCTAGCAACGGGGGGCTGGGGCTCGGGATACGGGACTTCAATGTAGTTGACGAGAATGTTGGTGTAGTCCACGGCGGTTGGCAGCTTGTCGCTTGTGCGCATATCGTTGTCGACCAAGAAGGTCAAATGGTGGGTGCCTGGCGTAACTGAGACATAGGCAGAGAGGGCGTCTTTTTTCTTGCTAGGACCATTGCGGTGAAGTTTGTATTTGCGGTTCCAGCCTGCAAATGTGCCCGTGACATAGACGCGTTCACCAGGACCTTCCCATTCAATCAAGGTTGGCACAGTCGGACGGCCGGTGCTGGGGCCCTTGAACTCCTCGCCGAGGTCCTCGTCGTCGGCTGTGGTGGTGCTGAGCATCGAGGAGCGGCGGGGCAGCATGCCCTCTGCCTCGTTTTCGTGGATGGGACTCCATATCTCTTCGGGGGAGATGATGGGCGAGCCAGGCGTGTGGACCTCTTCTTCGATGGGCAGGGGCATGCGAGGCGGGCGACTGAACTGCGACGGGGGGATGAGGTAGTCTTGCGAGGCATCGGCGGGGTCGATGAGGGAGACGGTGTCGGCATCTTCTCGTGGAGGAGCGGGGACGTCTACGGGGGGAGTTGGGGAGGGCTCGCGAGGAGGCTGCTGCTGCTGCTGCTCTTGTTGTGGTTGTTCTTGTGGTGGCGGCGGCGGTTGTTGTTGTTGTTGTTGTTGTTGTTGTTGTTGTTGTTGCTGCACTGGCACTGGCACTGTGATGGGTGCCTGTGGCGGGGTGGTGGTGATGGACGGGGCATCGCGGGGGGATTTGTCCTTTTCGCGGTCCCTGTCGCGGTCCCTGTCGCGGTCCTTTTCCTTGTCGCGATGATGGCCGCGGTGGCTGCTCTGCTCGTTGCCCATTGCGGCGTCGAGATTGTTGGTGTGGTTGTTGTTGTGGTGGTGGTGCCGGGCGCTGAAGTGGTCGTGAGCAGCGGCGCGCAGCTGGCTGGCCACGGCCTTTGTGCTAGTGCCGATTGTCTGCGCCCTCCCTCGCGAGTGCGGGCGGGCAGAGGATGGCTGGCTCTCGGCGTTCTCGAGGCTCACGGACGGGGCAGCAGGAGCTTTGGCGGCGCTGAGGGCCTGGATCGACTCTCGCCGTCGCGCCGAGTGGTAGTTGCTGTGCGGGGGGTGAAGGCTGCGCTCGGATGATGGAGCGAGGGAGTTGGGGTTGGGGTGCTGGCCATGTGATGTCGTCACGCCCGTGGGCGACTGCGGGTTGGACGAGGCCGTCGTCGAGCGCGAGTTCTGGTTCCCCATCTGCTCTGCTCTGCTCTGTCCGTTGCCCAAAAGCTGCAAAAGTTGACGGCAAGTCACGCAAGAGGGCGCGGCAGAGGTGACAGAGGACAGGACAGGACAGGACAGGACGCAGACCAGCCTCAAGCTATCGTATTGGTATCGCGCCCGGCCTGCACCCAGCACAGGGATCAACATTTGCTGCGCTGCGTCAATCGCCGATAGCCCTCCGCCCTGTCCAATCACACGGCCCGACATCTGCCCTACACCATGCTACTACCACACTACCACTCCACTGTACCCTACCTAAGTACATACACACATACACTACCAATCCTCTCCCATCTCCACGTCTGCTTCACCACCATCACTACCATCACCCTCCCCCATGGATCCCATCGTCGTCCTTTTAATCGCCCGCCGCCTTGTCCTGCACCTCGCCCGCTTGACATGGTGGCCCATTGCCAAGCTCATCACCCTCGCCGTCATTCTCCTGCGTCCATTCTATCTCCTCGTTACCTTTGCCCTGCTTCCCTTCATCCACCTTGCTCACGCCATCTTCCAACTCGTCTCCCTCCCCTTCACTGTCAAGTGGCTAGAGCAGATTGAGGTAACCCCTGATTCGTCTCTATTCTTCTATCCACGCGCCAAGCTAATTGCTGCAGACATTGTACGTCTTTCTCGGAATAGCTGCCCTCATAGGATGCATCACCGGCACCACTCTCTTCATCATGTTCAAGTTCCTGTCATCCACCCTGAGAATTGATGCCCCTATTGTCCCTGACAAGCCCATCGAGACGAGGACGGCTGCCCAGTATCGCGCTGAACGCCGTGCCAAGAAAGAAGAGGCCGTCCATCGCTTGCCAGCCATCACCCCAGTTGTTCTTAAGAAACCTGCCGGGCCCCGTAGGCGCGGACTTCTCTCCCAGGCCATCATCGAAGAGGAGGATTCCGACTTTTGACCCTTTTTCAATCTGCCTGTTCTGTATCCTTGAAGCCCTCCCAGTCTACCACCAAAGTAGAATGTCCAGAGTCTCTCGGTGACGTCACCGAGTGCACGCTGGACCTCCGATGTGTGCCTGCCACTCTGCTACCTGTGCCCAAATGAACCTGATCCAAAGCTTCTTCGCTTGTGGTTTTTGCGTCTAGAGAATACAAATCCAGGGATATTGCCGATAATACAGAAGGCTGTCTCTGCAACGTGCATGGCGCCAGCCGCACAAACTCTTGGTCCCGGCGTGTCATCGTCCTGCTTGTCGGCCTTGTTAATTGCAGTGCCGCCAACTGCCATCTTGACTTTCCTCACTCACATTGCAGCTCCACTTTCCTTTTTATCTGCACTGGCCATGGTGAGCCAATGGAGTACCACAGCCGCCCATGTGACTATGGCCTCCTCGTCAGCAAATGCCATTTCTCATATCATGACAGTCGTGCTTATAGTAGCAGTAGTAGTCGCACCATCGAATATGCAGATTGTAAAGCACATCTAGAAGTGCACACGTCAGCACAATTCCTACTTTGTCGACACCAGCTTGACTGACAAACGCCGGCATCTTTCCTCGGTAAATCCATAGAGCAATGAGGTTGCCAGAAGCAGGTAACACAACGAAGAAGCATCCCACCAGTGTCTTGAACAATAGCCTTTCCACTCTTCGCACCAGGCGTTGGTTGGCTGGGTGAAGATTGACGGCTGTTCTTTGCTTTGCTCGTCCACAGAGGTTCCCGGTTGCCCTAGCTAACCGGCTCGCAAACCCAGCGCCAGAAGGTCGGCTTCCTCTTACCACAGGGCTAAGAAGGTAGATGAAGACAAGAGTGAGGAGCACATTGATGGCAATGTCGCATAGTAGCAGTGGTATGATGGCGTATGGTTGCAGGCCGATTCGGCAGCGGCCGTCGTCTTTGGAGAGCGAAGTGATGGGCACGACAAATCCAGCCACGCCAATGGCCCCGAGACTGATACAGATGCCAATAGTGCTGAACAGCCAAAGGTAATCGCTCCATCGGGATCGATAAGGAGCTCTCAGAACGTGAACGCGCTCGACAAGGAAGAGATACCTGACGAATACAACGTCAGTGGACTCGCTTCCATCCCAAATATGGGCTAGAAGGTGTCTGCTCAACATACATGCTCACTTTGCTGGCCGTGTAGAAGAGCAGACAGAGCCTTATTGCGGCCTTGCAAACTTCGTTTGTTGTGATCCCGAGGCCGTTGTGGACAATTGCAGCGGCAATGATAAAGGTCATGGCAGATATGTAGTCAATGAAGATGTAGACATGTGTTAGTGTCATGTTCTTGAGCAAATGTTGGTTGAACTGGCGTATCCGGTACCCTGCATATGTCAACCGCTATGCTTTGGCTACACACAGATTGTAACCTCAATGAGGGTCGCACCCAGTAACCCAGCCAGCAGACATAGGCAGAGCTTGGATATGACTACTAATGAGATTCGTAGCTTGACGGGGTCTCCGTATTTGAAAGATGCTTGTCGGGCAATGTCCAGTCCGCCGTGTGGTGTTGTTGTGGATATCGGAGTCACAGAAGCTGTGGAAAGTGCCCAGATTGTGTTTAGGACAAGGATGCGTCGCATTTGAGAAGCTATGATTGTGCAAGGGAGTTAGGTATGCAAGTCATAGTGCGGAGTTATTGTAGGTTTGTAGTGTGTGAGTGGTGTAGTGAGTGTAGTGAGTGTGGTGTTTGGTGTTGACAGGACAATTGCTATTATTAGCTCTGGTGCAGCCGCGGCCATGCGGTCATGCAGTCACTTCAAGCGGAAGCAACAACCACTTAGGCGGACCTTGCTGCATTCTTCAGTAAATAGCACGTGACCAGTCAATGGAGTGAAGTCGACTAGACGATGCACAGGGCTACGATAACACTAGATGGAATGAGACGCTAATGAAGATACGGTGTACACGACGGCCAGTTGTTGCGGTCAAACCCAGCAACGGCACGTGAGTATGTAGTAGTACATTTGCTAGACGCACAAACGGATGTGGGGTGATTGTGGGTATGGTGAGTAGAACCGGGCATCATGTACTTTGCGAATATTCTTCGAGTCCAATGGCGCAACAAGTTCTTGGTAGTGGTACGTCATATGTCTTGTCTCGTCGCACGATGGCTATCAAGAGACGGCAGACAAGGTGGCAGAATCTGCATAGGAGACGAGGATGGCGAGGATAGCGAGAGTAGCGGCCATGTGCCTGGCCACTCACTGCAGGGACTAGACGAAACTTGGATCGGTAGCGGGCGACCACGCGCGTCACCCAACGGTGTACTTTGACAAGCGTACCGCGCGTACTCGCCTCTGCTTTGTCCGAGGATACCGATCCGAGTAGGGTAATAAGTAGAGTGCAAGGCGTTGCAGCGGTGGTTGCTTGACGAGGTGATAACGGGCTGGGTTGGAGGGCGCGGCATGCTGCAACGTCTCGTCATAGGCCGGGTGGTGGAGTGGAGTGGAGTGGAGTGGAGTGGAGTGGCTACACCAGCGCCCAGGCCTGTGTGACCGAATCCAAGGAAAACGGCTGCAGTCAGGTAGGGAACAAGTAAGGTAAGGCGAGGCAAGCTGAAGAGCGAGCTGAGACGAGGGCCACGCAAGCTGCTTGGTGTTTCGGGCTCTGCCTCCCAGGTGTACGTACTCGTGGTGAGCAAGAGGGACAGCGACAGCAGTAGAGGGGCAGCGAGGACCCAACCAGCAACGGCGGCGCAGATGCACCCACGGTCTTGGTGCCGCCTCAGTGAATGGCGGCCCCCACCCCTGAACCCTGGCGCGCTGCATTAACCGAGATTGGCGTCTGGCACTGCCTCTCTCTCTCTCTCTCTTGCGCGCTCTCGCCCGCTGCGCCTAGTTTTTTATTGCGCCCGCCCTGCCCATTCTCTCCTTCTCTCTCCCGCCTGGCACTGGACCGACGCTGATGCTCGTTTTGGCTTGCTGTTAGAGTCTTGCTACCTCCCTCCCTCCCCGCTCCCGCGACTGCATCTTTGTCCATCCCGCCGCTGCCCCGTGCACCACGACAAACTCCGAGGAAAAGGAGACTCGCAAGACGACCGAGACGACAACGACGGCAGTAATAACAATAACAACAATAGTAATACAACAGCGCCAGCAGCCAACATGCGCAAAGGCGTCACCATCTTCTTTCTCGTGACCATCCTGGTCCTCGGCTTCGCCGTCCATAGCGTCTGGACATTGCTGGGTCTTTTGGTCGCGTCCGGCCGGGAGGACGCCATTCTTCGCGGAGAATTGCCCGCCCCCAACTCCAGCGCAATCGATCATGCGCCACAATTGGTCCCCAAGATCATCCACCAGACATACATCAACGAGAGCATTCCTGCCCACTGGAAGGGCCCACAGCAAAGTTGCCTCGACCTCCACCCCGACTACGAGTACAAGGTACGGAGCGCGCTCCTGTTCCGACCATGCCCAGCTGCTGACCACTCTTAGCTATGGACTGACAAGAAGTCGCGCGAATTCATTGCTGCCGAGTACCCATGGTTCCTCGAGACTTTTGACGGCTATCCCTACCCCATCCAGCGCGCCGATGCCATTCGGTACTTTGTCCTTCACCACTTTGGCGGCATCTATATTGATTTGGACGACGTGCGTTACACCCGGTGGCACTACCCCATACATGCATAACTGACAATTCACAGGGATGCAACCGCAGCCTCGATCCACTTCTCGCCTACCCTGCGTGGGTCCGACGCACCCTTCCCACCGGAATTTCCAACGATGTCATGGGCGCGGTTCCCCGCCATCCCTTCTTCCTCAAGGCCATTGACTCTCTGACCGACTACAACCGCCGCTGGCCTCTCCCATACATTACCGTCATGGCTTCTACCGGTCCCCTCTACCTCAGTCTCATCTGGAGGCACTACAACAACGCTGGCCCCGTGGGAGAGGAGCGTGTCCGCATCTTGTTTCCCGACGAATACAACAACCACTCGTGGAGTTTCTTCACCCACCACTTGGGAAACAGCTGGCACAGGACCGATGTCAAGATTATCTTCTGGCTCGCCAAGCACTGGGTCCTCGTAACCATTCTTGGATTTACTGCCGGTTTCGCTCTTCTTGGCTTGATCTACAAGCTTGCCGTCTTGAACAAGCGATCCAGTGGCCCTGCCTCACCCAAGATTCGTTTCTTGAGCCCAAGAATGCCTTTCTACCGTCGCATAAGTCAAAAGAGCTTTGAGCTCGATGAGCGACACGAGGTGTAACCAGCGCCCTGACCTTCTCTGCATGATTTCAGCGTTATGTCCTGCACTACGTGCCTTGCATTTTCCGGCGTTTTCTTGCCACAGTCGCCCCGTGTCTTCGCTTCTCTACTGGCTTAGTTTTTTTTCTCTTCATTTTCATCTCGTCTATTTACATCAGGGCAGCGTTCCCTAGTAGCATGTTTTAACTGATTTTTCCCAACGGGCACGCACGACCGGGGTGACACATGAAACGGTTGGGCTACCGTAGTTGTTGAAAAAGCACCGTTTGAATGAGCACCATAGAAAGAGGCTAGACCTGAACCAGCCCATTGAGGCACGACGGACGAGTCTCCAGGCGTGGACTTGGGCGACTTTGGCCCGTCTGGCCGGACGAATCACTATTTGTTACGATAATATCAATACCAAGCACTACATCACGTGATGATGAGAACTCTATTTGCAGACAGGGCATGTGAAACCGATTTTCAGCTGTGGAACGAATAGTCTATCGCTGGTTGGAGCCAGGGGGGTTGTTGGGATGGATTGGCGACAGACCGGGGGAAAGCGTGTTCCCCGCCATTGCCCTGCTACGGCTCGCTTCTGATTGGTCCGTCAACTTGGCCTCTTTGGCAGCCCTGTCCGCAGGTGGACTACCATCACCGACCTTACTATAAATAATGTAACAAGGGTATTCCCGCAGCAGTTCTATGGAATTTGCCCCTTGCATGTACAGTAGAATGGAGTTCGAGCTGACTGAGAATGCACCAGTTCAACACTAGTTGCCTGGACAGCCACGCAGAGAGCACAATGACGCAGGCCCGCCACTTCCGTAACAGTGATAACCCTTCCGTCATCGCTCCGCCCCTACCACGTCTAGTAACCATTCCCCAGCCCTCTTGACAGGCCGACATCCGTTGCTCGGTTCCACATGTTGCACCTCGCTCGTTGCCATTGACGTCTTTCCTCCCTTTCCCTCCATTTGCTGCAACACATCTAGTCCAACTCTTTCCTTCTTTCACAACTTGAACACTACTTACGCTCCTATAATCTGAATCAAGCTTCCTAGATTCTCCCCCCTCTTTTCACCATGGTTGGATTCACAATGACGATGCGCGAAGGCGCAGAACTGGTTGGCGAGCATGGGTATCGGTACCTACTCGTCAAACCCCTTGGTCAATCCAATGTATGGGTTGCCGTAGACGCAGCAACCCAAGAAAAGATATTCATCGTCAAGCAACCAAGTGATGATGACGTCGGCTACGGCTGGCCACGCTTCCAGCACGAAATGGTCATGCATGAGCTTCTCAAGGGTATCCCGACCATTCGGCAACAAGTCGACCGCATCCCACCCGTGTCCAGGTCCGATCCGCCACGCATTGTTCTCGAGATTCTGCAGTCTACATTGTGGGATGCACGAAGGAAGCGCCAATTCAGCGATGTTGAGATCAAGGGCATCATGCGCTCAGCGCTTTTGGGCCTGCGGGACGTGCACCAACGAGACTTGGTATACGCAGGTTTGTAGCTGTGATTGTTGCCATGTTGCAGATCTAACAGAATTTCAGATTTGAAAATGCAAAACATACTACTCAGCGGATTCGAGGAACAGCCCAACGAAAGAGCAGTTGTAGGTGACAACAAGATTACAACCAAACTGGGCGACCTGGGTATCGTCATGGAACCAGCAAAGGGTCTGGTTCAACCTATCATATACCGAGCACCAGAAGTCTATTTCAGAAACGAAATCAGTCCAGCCGCAGACATTTGGTCATGGGGGCTGATATACTGTCAGCTCTTGGAAGCTCAAGCCGCCTTTAACAAGTACGGAATATACGACGAGCTACTAATAGGCAATCAAGGCCAAAAAGAAAGATCAGTCGAGCGAGCCATTGCCCACGACTTTGGCCTGGGAACACTAGACTACTACGACGGATGTCGCCTTCCCTATCGCGACACCACCCACTACGAAGGCCAGCAATGGGACAAGATTGTCGAAAAAGGTGTCCCAGAAAAGGAAGTCCAGTTCCTCAAATGGGTCCTGAACCCCGTACCAACCGATAGACCAAGCGCCCAAGACATCCTCAACTCTGGCTGGTTCACAACCGACGACCAAGCCACCGGCCGTATTGCCGAAACACTCAAAACCCGTGTCGAAGAATCCCGCCGCAAGCACCTCCTGAGAAAACACAGCGAACCCTTTTTGTCAAATATGTCTGTTCAGCACCCTGTCAAGAACACGCAAGTTCCTCTGAATGTTGCGGCTTCGACAACTCTACCGCCTACACCTATGCCTCAGGCGAGTGAGCAGCCTGTTGCATTTGAACCTGTGTCTTTCCAGCCGTTTGAGACGTCGCAGTATTACGCTCGACCTGCGGCAAGTAGGTCTAGTACGCAAAGGCCCGCGGGGGGCACTTTTATGAATTATGGCTCTTTTATGAGATGAGGATGTGGAATGGTTTTGTCTTCCTGGGGGAGGACGGGTTGAGTTAGGGGTTGGGACTGTATTATTAGCTAAAAGAATAGAGAATCTATTGAATGATCAAGCAATAAAGAGTGGGTTCATGCTAAGTTGTCAAAAATTGTCGAATTGAAAAAAAAATATTTGCATATGGGTTGGACAAAGAAAACAATATAATCACTCGTTTTTTTTTCTCTTCTTCCAAGGGTTAAAATATCTAGATTTCTTTCCCCTCCTCCTCCTTTTCTTATAACAACTTCACGTCCTATAGCGTGTAGAGTCAATATCTAACCCTTTATCCCCCAGACTTCAGCATTTCCAGCTACAATAGTGTTGTAGATGTATCTTTTCCTCATGTACGAAGTCGTATGTTGAAATGGATTTTTTTTGGAAAGAAAAAGAAAGGTGGGAGGATATCAGAGTGGGAGTTTTGAGATGTACATATTACGGAGTAGGGTGTGTGATAGTGGAATGGGAAGATGGGGTATAGGGTATGAGAGTATGGTTCTGTTGGGATTCGTGTGGTAAGAGAGGGGGATGGTTGGGTGAGGGGGGGTTAGATATTGTGGTGTATTATCACGTGATTAGATTATAGGTATATATATAGCGATCTTCTTTTGTATGTCGAGATGCACCTTCTTCAATCAATCTTTTCTAGCAATTAAATTTCGGCTTAGTTCTATCTACTTGGTTGCGGGTCGCCCCCTCGGATCTTTTGAGCTTGATCACATAACGTGCCACAATATATACTTTGTCATGAGCGGGGTGTTAAGTTCAGTAGTAGTTTATTTCTAATTGACGCTTGTGGAAGCTTCTTTTAGTACTAAACTACTAAAAGCTATCCAAGTATTCTATCATCATCATAACTTAGAAAGTAAAAGGCTAAAGCTATTCACGATGACGTGCCGAAGTATGGGGAAACTAACTTTGAAGGATTATACTCTACTTTATATATATATGTTAGGTTCTTCTTTGCACAAACATCAATAGGTCATGTACGTTCCATGGCCCAGAACTAATGCAGACCTGCTGTAGCATAGAGCGGAAACAACGTTTCTCTACGATGATGTCAGATTCACTCTCTTTGAAATTCTAGTAACACTAGCTCTTTATGCATAGAGTTTATCAGATGATCTCAGCTGATAAAAGATTTATCCCCCCTGCTCAAGCACTAAAAAAAATAAGAAACATCCCATTAATCGATAAACCAGATCAAATACAAGCTTTTGCTAGAATTTGTAGTAGAGTAAGCTCTAGGCAATAAGTAATTTTGGTCCAAAGTTTGATAGTGTATCTTACCCTCGATTTCCGCCAATCACCATGTTCACGTAAGTCTTACCCCGCAATGTCTCTCACAGAGAACATTTAAGCGTAAAATTCAACGAATGACTTTACTTGTGTTATATTATTTATTTTCCTATATACTGCGGTACACGGTACAAGTTTTATATGTGGAGACGCCAAAATGACGATCGGGCTCCTCTTCTTCGGATAATTCTATACCTAATTTATTCCAGAGAAATCCAGGGATATTCTTTAACAATCACGACTCTAATTGGTGCAGATCGTACTCTTTATAGTATAGCTCTTAGTCTCGACCCTGGCCTGCATCGTCCCCTTGCTAGCGGCCCACATACAAAACTTGTGCCATGTACCACAGTAGAGTTAGGCTACAATTCTCTACTTCTAGTCTACGTTAGAGCAAAATGTTTAAACAGCGGTAGTCCATGCGACGGATAGAGGGCTTGATAGAAAATTCGTCCCGTGCTAAATATAACCAGAGTTTCCAAGACTGTTTAGTGATTATCAAGAACTGTCTAGACCTACTCGTATTGCCTTAGGAGTAGTCTACGGTTGGATATGGCATGGAGCTCACGATAAGTGTATGAATATCGATCCTAGTGGTGTAAGATACATCTCTTCTAGGAAATTGGTTAGATTCTACAATCTAATAATAACATTAAACTTTCCTGGATCTCATTGTGAGACACGGAAAGAACCGAAGTTGTGTTTTGCGTGTGCGGTCTTTGCAATCTTATTAGTCCATGTAGTCAAGGAAGGTTGATTGCTTCAGATGTATCAGCCTTGTACGGTAAGAAGATATCTCTGCCACGGTTTGGTAGGTGTTGTATGATCGTATGATCCTTACTCACTAAAGAGCTAGGAGCGGCGCCGTCCTATGAAAGGGCCGAAAACTATTTAAAGCCCGTTTTATACAATCACAAGGAAAGACTGAAGAGTTAGTGGGGCACCCGGTAGTATGTATATCTGCATCTTCTCACATTAATTATTCTTTTTCACTGATATATGCTCGTAGAATTCAACTTACTTCAACAGAAAAAAAGAAACGCATACATATACTTTCAAGATCAAATGCCTACCTACCTATCAAAGCTAATAGCTGTTCTTACTATGTAAGTTTTCTGCCTCAATTACATCCTAACCTTTTATACTTATACTCAAATAGTACAATATAAATAACTCCAGCAATAGCGGTGAATTGCGGTTACTACTGTGGTGACCCTGATCACCCTGACGACTTCCATTCCGAGTTCACCGTTACTTGCTGCGGTGGAAAGAAAGCAAATCTCGCTAAAAGTGGTGAGGTAGGCAAATATTCTTGGTGTCATATTTTTTTGAAATAGAATCTTAAGAGGTTATATAGTGCAGTCTGCCACCAGGCGCTGCTCGTGATAGATTTGCGTCATGTTGCGAGGGATATAAAGCAGCTAAAAGGGAAATATGCTATGCGAAAGCTCCAGAGGGTCCACATCAGTGTGGTAGAGATGAATTGTCAATAGAGTACCAATAGTTTTAGTTAGTGTATTTGAATTTTGGATCTACTGCAATAGCAGGAGTGCTTGTTGCTGCTTGATGTTTTGAGCGCGGTCGCGTAAGGTCGATAGGATGTTTCTGTCAAATGTTGCAATTCTGGAAGGACTTGTTTTTCCTTGTCTGCTGTGGATGTTATATTGTAATGCTGCCTTTGGATCTCTTGATAAGGTATTGTGGTTTCAGGTTATCTGAGTGTTGATTGATTTCTTTGCTGCAAGAGGCGGTTGAGATTGAAAAGATCGGTCTACACTGCATGCCATCTCAGAAGTGTAAGAGCCTGTAGCGCGATATTTTATGTATTTTATTGTAATCTTTGTATATTTCGTAGTAGGCGATAGCTCTTGTTGGAGTATTTTGTGATGCCCCGACAAATTCCTTATGTCCTGATCAAAACAACCTGGTATTCCGACGTTAGCACGCTGCCTATGCATAATAATTCAAGTTGAAAAAGACGAATTCTAGGCGCTGCACAATTGGTGTGGAGTCGGATTTCAAGACGGGGTATGCAGTAGGCAGGCGCTTAGCGGCTCTTTTGCGGGTCTATTCCTCAGCCACTCAGCAGCATAAGCGCTCGGGACTTGTAATTGCCATACATACACAGGTATTTCCGGGAACGTTCCGATTGCTTTTCCATCCTATTTCCACAAATATATTGCGGCGTAACAGCCAACACACCGCTTGCCCCACTAGTGCCTCGAAAACCCAACCGCATAATCGCTTGGAAAGCCCGAATCAGGCCCTTGAACTGTAGCAACCGTGCCGCGATTTGGCGGCGGCCCAAAGAATATCTCCCAATGCTCTATCACCCCTAGCAATACTTGTCAAACTCCCCTTTCTTTTTACCGATTCAGAAATAACTCAACCTTCTCTACAATGCTACTGACTCTATTCAACAAACATGAACAATCTGCCACAGGAACTTGTCGACGAGATATGCAGCTACATGCCCACGGAGGACTTGAAGCATGTGCTCATGCTCAATCGCCAGTTTCGCTATGGTGCAGAGCGATACTCTGGGTTCTTTGACGAGTACACTATTAAGGAAGATAGTATAGAGTTCCTTTCGTGTTACTCCTGCCATCGCCTGCTTTGCCTCAAGGAAGTTATCTTCAAGCCAATGCTCCCACCTGTGTTGAAATCGCCAGATAGCGAAGAGTTACCGTGCCGTGAGAGCGCCGAGGAAATACGTGAGAAAGATGAATCCTTTACTCGCCAGGTTCAACACCTCTTCGACGTTCAACACCTCTCCAACACTCTTAGCCTGTTGGAGCAACAGGCTGGGGCCAGCAGTCAAAGATACATTCAGCTTAAGCCTGGCCATTTTATCGAATAGCCTCCGTCAGCTGCAAATACAAGCCATGATTGACGAGAGTTTGTTTTCTAAAGATGCCAGTACTGGACCTCGTTGGCCCAATCTGGAGATTCTAGGGGTTGTGTTTCACCCAGCACATTCGAATGGATCTTGGTATTTTCACGGCCCGCAAGGCGAAGGTCGCAATGTGATGGGTTTTAAAGTCACTGATGAACACTACCCGCCATACGAAAAGACCGAGCTGGACGAGGAGATGCAATATCTACATGATGAGAGGCCCAATGGAAACACGGATGACGGCAATTCTCAGTATCGCATCACACCAGATGAAAATCGGTTGCGTCCGCTTCTGAAAAGCTTCGCGGAGGCCGCTATCCATATACCATTTTTGAAGTCAGCATGCCTCTGGTCACCCCTGAACTGGTCTAATGTTGAAGCTCCAGAAATTGATTTCGACAAATATACCAAGAAGGGACGTTGGTCATACGTGTGGGGTGTCTGTCACAATGCTCCCGAGGAAGATAATGAATCTAAATCATCGCGTAGATTGAATTGGGTTGTGGGGTCGTGGCATCTAGATCCAGAGCTTCATGTTCTAATCCAAAGGATTGGGGATGGCAAATATGGACAAGATCTGGATGAAGAGTGCATTCTTGGTAAAGGTAGCGAAAACCCATTGATAGAGAAATATGCAAGTGATTGTTTCTTCTCGGATGAATTGCAGCGCATTACTTTTCCGTACTAATTCATTTAAAATGGTATCATGTAAAGCGAGGCTGCTACGCAAGAGTATAGGTGCTATCGTAAGCTCACTCCTCATAGAAGAAAATCCAACGACGTAGAATTATAAAGATATTGTAGCTGAGTTTAGTGTTGAATGAAGCATCAAACAACCTGCTGTAACTCTATGCACGTACTCTGCTTATCCACCTATATTACATAGGTAGCGTGTTGCCATCAACTTTGCAGCTTCCGCCGTTGTTGTTTTCGTCGCTATTACCACCAACACAATACGGTACTCCGTCTGACTTGCAAAGAGTGGCTGGGAAAGGCGAACATGGGACTATGTTCCAATTCTTGAAAAAGTTAGAATAGGTCCCTGTGCACGAACTTTTTCCTGCGTGGGTATCTTCTGCATAGCACTAGATGAACAGCATTAGAAAAAACGGCGAGATGAACAGAGTTTCTCTTACGCAATATACTCCAACACCTTTATCGCAGCCTTTGATTCGGGTGTTTGTGCAGCAAATTGCAGATGCCTGGCTGGAGAGAGCCAGCATTCCAACAATCGTACTTAGCTTCATCTTGGAAAAGATGAGTGACTAACAAGACAATGAAAAAAACACCTGGATTATAGATACGTTGAAATATTGTTGGAAGGATTTGATGATAGGTTCAGAGGGTTAATGTAGGCAGATCTATGTCTCCTTTTACGCATCGTGGGATTCTTTATCAAATGGACTTCTTATAGGCACTAACTAGCGTGTATACTAATTGCTTCTAGTTAAATGAGTAGGGGCCCTAGCGATAGGGGCCACGCTAGATTGTCATGTCAATTGCTTAGGGGCGATGGAACTAGCGATACTATGAGCGTGTTTAGTGCTGACGTATCTGATATATGTTACGGATGGACAAAGCTTTGCGAAAAAATAATGATAACCAGAAAGAAACCCATGAATAATTATTAGCGGGAGGACAGCCGATACGAGCACACTGATAAGGCATCGGCATCTTTAGGCAGTGCAAACGGCGGTGGTTAAAGTCGTGCTGTAGCAGCGAGACCGAGCATTCCTCAGTAGGAAAAGAAGCTACAAGGGCTTAACTATAAGCTGGCAGCCCCACAATACAACACAACAGGAAGCATGAATCAAGTGATATGATGAGTCATGTTCAGTAGTCTCTTTCACTGAACTGTGCAGCAATTGCGTCTGCGTCTTGAAAGACCGGTGAGACAGCTAGCCAAAGCTTCTCATACAACCATGAATGATCTACCGCAAGAACTTGTTGATGGTATCTGCAGCTACCTACCGAGAGAGGACTTACAGAACGTGCTTATGCTTAGTCGTCAGTTCCAATACAGCGCAGAGAAATATTCGGGATTCTTCGAGAAATATACTCTCGACACAGACAACTCAGCAGAGTTCCATTCTCGCTTCTCGTCCTATCGTCTGATGTACTTACAAGAAGCGATATTCCGACCGAATTTCCCACCAGATTCAGTGGCTCTTCCGTGTCCTCAGGTTTATCGAAGATCAGGCAGGCGAAACGGGCATCGTCGGCAGATATCGACTCTCGATATACAGCCCTATCAGAGGAATTGAATCACCGAATCGTCATTCTTGGCCATATTTTGTCAACCCTTGGCGTGTGCACCTCCTAGAAGTTGAGCTTCCCCTTATTACAGCTGTACAGTCTTTCGAAATCTGCAACAACTACAACAACAACAACAACATGAAAGCCCCTTTCTACTTCTACTTTGATGAGCAAAGATTTGCTCCACATTAGTTCAAACTGGATTTAGGTGTTCTTATCGGTCTTGCGATACATTTCCCGAACTATATGGTCATTTGAAAGATCCCATCAAGCATTTTGAGAACGACTAGGCAGGGCCCCGGCGCGATGCAAGAAACGATTTTGCAGCTGCTGTCTCGTCCCTCCATAGCCAGCTTCCGAAGTTGTTGAGACGGGCTTGCTTAGACTTTATCAATCCTCTGGAACGCGCATTCATAAACATTGATCACAACATGGTATTTGCTGTCCACTCGATGAATACCAGGGCGCACCATTAAAAATGCAACTCTGGGAGGCCAAAACAGCCTGGCCACCTCCAGTCTCCTTGCCAGGGGGGCAGACATTCCTGCATTGCTCTTTTATGGTGCCTCTCGAACCGTCAGACGAATCGAAACAGGTCAGGTCGGCGTAATATTCCCGTAATTTGCGTGCGGCACTGGGATCTTTAATGGTCTCTTGTCCGAAAGGCTTTTGTACATCGTCAGGATTGGAGTTACAGCTTTGAGCAAAGCTATGTGTCGTTAAGCTTGCCACAATAGCCAAATATGTATGAACAAAGAAAGAAATATACTGCATCTTGGAGAAAGGTTATGACAGTGCTTAAGAGGTAAATGTTTCTTGAAATTTTTGGACTTTCTACTGAAATGTTTTTGAGTTCATATCTGTTCATGTATGATTATGACTACACCTCTCTGCAGGTAACTCAGCCCCATCACAGGATCAGACGAACCACGCCGCGAAGGAGCCTTCCTTTGGATATCGCATTGGCAGCAGAAGATATCTCGGCGCTTCTAGGGCTCAAGTCACAGTCTTGTATTCCAGCATATTACTGTGCCACTTCCCAGCGTTGATACCCGATAGCTAGCACCAACATACGCTCCTCTTCACTCCCACCAAACTGCATTGGCTACTGAGAAAAGCAACTTAGTAACCACTTTCTCAACGCGAATATAGAAATTCCAGACAGTAAAATAATATCATCGCAAGAGACACCTGAATGATGCCTACAAATCACATAGTTTAAATCGCGAGGCGCATTCAAGGTATCCACCCAACGGCGGTACAGGTCAGCCTGGTGATTGTACGCGCTGCCAAGCTCATGCGTGCTCAATTCCAAGGAAGTCAATCCATAGACCTCAGATCATGAATGAGTTGATATTCCCTGAAACAATCGAGAGAGTGACCGTAAGCGCTTCATATGCAACATTGCGGTGATGTTGCACAGCAGATGTGGAAAATCAGTCGAGTAGCCCTCCCCACCCCCGTCCTCAAAAAACTCGCGCTTAATTCCTGAAGTCTACGTCCTCAGTAGCTCAAATAGACCCCAGTGTCTCAGTAATTGTTTCTATTCCGATCATGTCAGGGTCGACAAGAGAGAAAACCACCCCTGGTGCTCGACACTGCTGGATTGCGGCACAAGGAAAACAACACATCGCCCCCGAGATATATTAAACTATATTTGCAGCCAATAAATAATTGGGGCTAGTTTTGGCCTCGTTACAGGATGCCATTGAATTTCTTCGTTCATTATATGTTTCCATAGCTATCTGCAGTGACATCCGCCTATCGGCCTGCCACCCACCGACCAAATCCTTTTCCTCAACTACCCCTCTACAAATGCTACAAACTATATGCGGTTAGCTATTATGACTACGTATACCTGTCTCTATTGTCCTTTTCTGCATAATAGCTTTGTAGCATGCGCAAAGAGGTGGTAGAGTAATTGGTTTTCCTCCAATTACTCATCATAGGGGCTTTGACAAGAATCATGAAAGTTTCTTGAGCAACTATTCGGGTAGATTCATTTTATACCATGTTGTGCCATAGACCAATAGTGCATGTTGTGTAGTCTACGTTCTGGTAATTGTAATATTACTACGATTAGGAGAACCACCGGCCCCGAGCCAAGCAGACCGCGTATATGCGCTTGCGCTAAACCGGATTGGGATGCACCTCCTCACCGAACCGTGGAACACAACAACAGCGACTGCAAACCAGCATAATGGTTTGCATTAGTCTTTGCTGGGGGAATGAATATGGAGAATAGACATCATGTGCACATTGCGTGCGGCAGGGAAAAAGATTCCAGGTGCAATGACCATGTATTGCCAGCGTCCGGTGCTGTGATTCGTCAGTCTCGCTTGCACCTCCTTGCCTCCCAAACCGCCCCCAGCGCAACCGCTTGAACACGCTCGACATCGCCGCTCACTGAAACCTTTTCCATCGCCAAACAGCACCCCAACACCGCTTTTCATCACTTCCGACGCGATAGATCGCATGCTGTGGGCCGTGCGACAATTTTGACACCGATATCCGCAATATTGCGACGCGTTGGTGGTTGCAACAGCTCTTGGGCGAGTGACTCACCTCTTTGCTGGTCCGCCCCGGGGCGCCAGGATTTGCATCGCACCCCATACGGAGCCCAACCCAACCACGCATCACGTGCATAGCGACAAACAACAATGACTGCTCGCGCAACAGGCCAGCGCTTTCGCCAGCGCAAGCTCTCTACAAAACAGAATCTGCCCGTTGTACGCGAAAACGAGGTTGAACAGCTTGCCGATGACGATGCCTCCCGCCACATTCCCAAGGTCGAGACGGGTGTTGAGAAGGGCGAGGAGATTGTAAGTTGCGCTAGGCCCCTTTGGGCACTGCTTGTCTATCAACGCTTCCCCAGCCTCAACCATGCACTATGCGTTGTTCGATTAAGATCTTGCATTGCTTACCTTTGTCGTCTTTTCAGTTCGAAAAGCTAATATGCAGCCTAGGAACACCACTTGCAGGCCGTCATTTCTGCCGCCCAGGCAGCAGCACAAGGCGCAGCTGGCGGGAAGATTGCTCAGCTCTACATCCCAACCCCAGATGCCGTCGCTAGTAATCTGCAGTATGAAGATCTGTATCCCAAGCGCTTCACGCAGCCTGCCACTTACATCCGATTCTCATCTACTGTTGAGGATACGTCTGGCTGCCCATACTGCATGACCAGTGATGATGTCGCCTTTCTCAAGTCTTACAACCAGAAAAGGAGTAAGAACGACCAATGTTCAGAAGACGAGTTTGAAGAGATCATCTACTTTTTCGAGGAAACCACCTCGACGAAGCAGCCTTTCGCAGCTGTCGATAACCCACCTGTGCTTGCTTATGAAGAGCTCGAAGCCGAGTTTGATGAGACCATCAGTGAAAATGCACGCCGGTTTGCAAAGGATGTCTACGAGCACTGGAGGAATCAGCGGCTGCTTAGAGGCAACCGCCCGCTTATGCCGTCGTTGAAGTTCGAGACCAACCTCGAGACCGATGACGCTGATCCATACGTGTGTTTCCGACGTCGCGAGGTGCGACAGGTCCGCAAAACGCGCGGCCGTGATGCCCAAGTGACCGAGAAACTGAAGAAGCTCAGGAAGGAGTTAGAGGAGGCTCGCTTGTTGATGTCGCAAGTCAAACGACGAGAAGCAATGATCAGAGAGCAACTCGCCACTGACAAACTGATCTTTGAACAGCGCCACGCCGTCAAGGAACTCAAGCGCAGACTCAGCATCAAGGGTGATGACGATGACTTGCTCATCACGCAGAAGGTACTTCGTCCAAGCCATTCCACAAATGCTTTGCACATGACTAATGCGTTACAGCCCGCCCCTAAGCCCAAGAGAACTGTTGATGTTGAGCGGCAACGCCAGACATTGCCAGGCATGAAGCCCCCGAACACACGTCCTGATGGGCGTCTTGTGGATGGCGACATTGTCTATCTCGAGGAGCAACAAGCCAAGCGCACTGAGGCAATTGACAGCTTCATCGAAGACAATCTGGTCAAGCACCAGAAATGGAACGTTGGTTGGGTCGATGCAACATGGCGTCCCATTACACCACCTTTGGAGCCGGCTGCTGCGAAGTCTGATTTCCGTACCGTCTTCACAGAAAGTCAGCTTCCTACGCCCCCTGCCTCTGTTTCTGATGGAGAGGGCGCTGACGCCACAGCAGTGGCGCCGCTAAGCAAGCAACCGGATCCGCAAAGAACCGCGCGAATACGCTTCGCCACGCCGCCAGAAGATGTACCGTTCCACGATCAGTCTCGCTTCCGTCGGCGGATCGGGCGAGGTGGGCGAATGATGATTGACCGGCGAGGCGTCAAGCGCCAGAAGACGGAGAAATATGATGACCGTCTTGCTGACCGATGGCGGTTCGCTGGTGATAGTAGTGAAGACGATGAAACATATCCCGTTGATTGGACGGATAACCTGCACATCAGATACCGTATCATGATTGAGCGGCAAGGTGAAAAGGCCGCTCAACAACCTCCACCAGGTCCAAATCGTCGGCCAATTGAGAACCATAATCGTTCTGCGTCGGGACATCTTCTTCCTCCCACCCCTACCACTGCCCACCCTGCCAGTGCCGGCAACGCTGCCAATGCCGCAGCAGGGAGGTGATTTCTTCTCTCATCTTCTTCTCTTCTTCGTCCAGCGCTTTGACTCATGGGATGGATTCGGTGCAGGTTTGTCGACAAGTTATACCCTTTGTTTTTATTCGCAGGAGGATCCAAAGATCTACCAAGTTATGTACACTAGCTCCACAGGTGAGGGAGCAAGGTTGGTGGATGAGTTTGTAGGCGCCACGGGTGTAGGATATGCCTAGATCGGAAGACAAGTTAGCAGTGGGGTTTCTTGGATATGATATTCAGATGCTTCTGCAAGATGTTGCGAGAACACTGCACAGCGGATGTTTCCAGAAAGAAAAGAAAAGAAACCTTACCAAAGCATGTTGCTAGCTCGAACTCATAATCTTTTGCATGGTGTTCTCGTGGTGCCCCTCATCG